ACATAACATAAGTTTTTTACAAGTAAAACTTATCAAATTATTTTTCTTTTAAGATATATTGTACATAAGTTTTTATAAGTAAAAATTATATCGTGTTATAAAAATTTAACACGTTTATTAATAGTGTCCAATGTTTAAAAATAATATCTTTTTAAAGGTTATTATTATTCAAGAAAAACCTAACTACAAAAAATGTCCATAACATAAATTTTTACGAGTAAAATTTATCATTATTTATTAGAACACTGAGTTATATGGTTCTTTTACTTGTTATTATAACAAATTAATTATTATAACAATGCAATAAAAAAATATTTAATACAAAAGTCTTGGCGCGGTTGCACCAAAAACTATATCGAAGATGTATGTACATAAAAGCCAAATTAGATATTATTGATACTTCGTCAATTATAATAAGAATAACATCTTTTAATAAAAAAATATCAAAATATGTAGAATATATACACATTCGATATGTATATGCTATAGTGAAAGTTTATAATTTATTATATAATAACCAAAAACGAACGATTGCGATGTGCGCGAGCTATTATATATTTTACACTCATATGGAATTTCAAGTTCAAATAAAACTATTCAATATCGCGCTATAAATATAATACATGTCGTGTACGATAGATTCAAGTTAATTTCAACAAATATATTATATTATTAGTTTTATATTATATTATATTATATTATTAGTAGTTTTTGACTTTCGCGGCCATTGATACAATCAGGGTGTATTTCTTCGGGATGGATACAGCGTCGTAATTCAGCTTTGTGCCGAGGTTTCGCAAACATTGCAGCTTGCATCATCAGGGCTAGGAGCTCCGATACTGAGTCTTCCTGGTTTGTGGTTATCCGTATATACTCTTCCATTCTTCTAAGTGGAGGTTGGGAGAAATGGGGAACGGGGTAGGGGAAATGTTCCGATCAATCATATTAATTGGCCAGCTGGTCAATTAAAAACTATGGCAGATACTGGACCGCACGAACAAGCTGTTCACTCCTCTGAAGAAAAAACGCGGAAGAAGAAAGAAAAGTACAACAAAATCAATCCACAAGCCCAAACTCCAGTTCTCGCAGATACAGTAAAGAACCTAAGCAAACAAACCCTATCTCCATCTGAGATCACCATCCTCGCCAAAGGACACAATTTCGCAGTTACACCAGTCAGTATTCCCACAGAGGAAATAATCAGTCAAGTGGAGACGGCTATCTACCATCTTACTCCGGAAGTTAGCAACGACATCAGAAATCGGATAGTTAACGTTCTCCGCAAGACCAAAGCTCCCGTACAGAACATAAGTCGAGAGAAATGTCTAGCACTCAAAAACTTAAGGGGGAACAACAAGATCCTAATCCTACCAGCCGACAAAGGAAACGCCACAGTGGTTATGGATAGGGAAGAGTACTGAAACAAAGTGAATACTATGCTCTCAGACCACAAAGTCTACAAGAAACTTAAACGCAACCTAACTTCGAGCATAGAAAAGAAAACAGCTGCTTTGCTCAAAAACTCAGGTCTCCTTGCGCCAACTATCAAATATTTAACTCCTTGAGAATCTTCAGCACCCAGATTGTATGGTCTTCCCAAGATTCACAAGGAATGGGTCCCCCTACGCCCAATCGTTAGCAATATCAGTGGACCTACCTACCAACTAGCCTGCTGTCTCACAAAATCCCTCCAGAAACTCACTGGACTCAATGACTCACACATAAAGAACTCAATGGATTTCATAAAGAAGATAACAAAGATGAAGACAGGAACTAATGACATCTTGATAAGCTTTGATATAGTTTCGTTATTCACTAATGTTCCAATCCATTAAATATCATTAAGAAATCCGATAAACTTCCTGCCAACCTCTTCCCTTTAATACAACATTGCCTAACGTCTACTTACTTTCAGTTCCAAGAGGAATTCTTCGAACAGACATCAGGAGCAGCAATGGAATTTCCAGTGTCACCGATCATTGCCAACATCTTTATGGAACACTTTGAGAATGAAGTCCGGAAGAACGCACCTCTTAATCTTTCGGTATGGTTTCGATATGTGGATGATACGTTTGTCATTTGGAGCCATGGCAAGGAAACGCTTCCCCAATTTCTCGACTTCCTAAATTCACAGCATCTCAATAGTCAATTTACAATGGAAATGGAACAAAATAAATAAATTCCCTTTCTGGACGTACTGGTTCGAAGGAACGAAGATGGTACACTAAGTCACCGAGTTTACCGAAAACCCATACATACTGATCGATATCTACACGCAATCTCTCATCACCATCCAACACAAAAGAAATCTGTCATCAGTTCCCTGGTCTACAGAGCCCTAACAATTTCTGAAACAGCTTCCCTAGATAAAGAATTAGAACACTTCAATCGGGCTTTAACTAACAACGGATACAGGAGTAAAGACATCAATCGAATAACCTATAAACTGAAGAACAAAATTTCGGATCCGGACAACACTCAAGAGCCAGAGGAAGAAGAAAAACTGAGTCATCAGAGGAAGAAAGATAAAAGAACAAGACGGTTGTCCTCCCATATCTTCAAGGTACAACAGAACGTATTGGCAGGACTCTAAACAAACATAACATCAGAGTGATTTTCAAGCCACCAAAAAAGATCTCATAATTACTCTCCAACCTGAAAGAGAAACCATACTTGGACACACCAGTGGTGCGATTCTGTAACTCGTGATTGGAGTTAACGACACTTTCGTTATCGTTGCGCAGCTTTTCTACGGTATACAAAAGCTACGCAACGATAACGAAAGTGTCGTTAACTTCAATAACGAGTTATAGAATCGCACCACAGGTGTGTATAGGATCCCTTGTGCATGCGGAAAAGTATATATAGGAGAAACCGGGAGGAAGATTTGTACACGGATCAAAGAACACCAGCGATGTATCAAATACGATCACTTTTCTCAATCTGCCTTGGCTGAACACTGGATGGAGGCTGGACACACCGTACAGTGTGACAAAACAACCATTCTGGACTCCTCACAAAACTACTACGCCAGAAAACATCGAGAAGGATTGGAAATTCTGAAACATCCCAACAATGTTAACCGAGATAAGGGTCTTCAGGTGAACCCTATTTGGCACGCTGTCCTCTCGGTTTTTAATTGACCAGCTGGCCAATTAATATGATTGGTCGGAACATTTTCCCCATCTCATTCCCCATTTCTCTCAACCCCCACTTAGAAGAATGGAAGAGTATATAAGGACAACCACAAACCAGGAAGACTCAGTATCGAAGCTCCTAGCCCTGATGATGCAAGCTGCAATGTTTACAACGTTGGCACAAAACTGAATTACGATGCGGTATCCATTCGAAAGAAACACACCCTGATTATGTTATATTATTAATATTCAATACATTCGAATATTATTTTGACATACCTATTTTAAGAGTATTTTATATTAGATGTATTTGTAAAGAAATAGTTTATATTTTACTATTGTATTTTACTATGTATAGAGAGAATTTACAAGTACATTTTATTATAATAAAAATGTTGTCATGTATGTATTAAACAAGTTTTAGTTCGATATAGTTTTTGGTGCAGCCGCACCAAGATTTTTGTATTAAATATTTTTTATTGCATTGTTATAATAATTAATTTGTTATAATAACAAGTAAAAGAACCATATAACTCAGTATTCTAATAAATAATGATAAATTTTACTCGTAAAAATTTATGTTATGGACATTTTTTGTAGTTAGGTTTTTCTTGAATAATAATAACCTTTAAAAAGATATTATTTTTAAACATTGGACACTATTAATAAACGTGTTAAATTTTTATAACACGATATAATTTTTACTTATAAAAACTTATGTACATATATATCTTAAAAGAAAAATAATTTGATAAGTTTTACTTGTAAAAACTTATGTTATGTACACATATATACCTTAAAAAAATAATTTGAATTTGAAATTTCTAAAAATAACACAATACGTGTTGCGCTTGTACTTGGCGCCTTCTTTTACTTTTTTGTTTAAAAGGGTAAGTTTTATAAATTTAACATGTAAAAACTTATGTTACGTACATTTCTTGTCGTAATACTTATAATAAATACGTGAACTTTCTACTCAACGGTTTTCATCGGCTCGACAGAGAGAGAGAGAGAGAGAGAGAGAGAGAGAGAGAGAGAGAGAGAAAGAGAGAACGGCTCTTCACAAATTAGGCTCGGCTTTTAGATTTGTTGCCCCGTGCGTGTGGGCAACTGTTTCTCTCGTCAATTATCATTCCTTCCAGCGAGCAAAGTAGTGATCCGCGGGCGTTTGCGAGATTAACAACAATTGTGGAAAATTTTCGATGCCGTCACGGATCTACGTGTCACGAGCGCGCAGGTGTTACGCACGAAACTTCTTTATCTTTTACGGGTGCGGGAACGACACAACGACATGATTCATCCTAAAAACTTATTCTGCCTACACGCAAGCAGGGCTATAAAATAAGAGATATGCGAGGGGACGAAGGTGTATCATCGTGTTTCGACGGCCTAACTAGCGGAATAGCTCGAATTTCGGTGCGAACGAAATCACCCCGAAAATTCTCTTCCGAGGCAACGAACCGACAAGCGCGGCCGAATTATCGGAAGGATTTTCTGCTGACATCTCTATTTTCTCAATATATAAATAATTAGATACTTAGTCTGTTTATGTTTGACTATCGCCGAAAGCCTATGGAAATGCACTCGTGATACGCGTCGTTAAAATGATATTTTATATTAAATAAAAACGCGACGAACCGTCGAAAGTGCCGAACATAAAAGAGAAATTTTGCGAAAGAAACAATTGTAAAATTTTAGACGACACTTGGTGACGTCGGAATAGATCCCCCTTCTCTCTCTCTCTCTTTCTCTCTCTCTCTCTCTCTGTCTACTTGTTTTAATTTAATATATTTCGAAAATAATTTTATATTTTATATTTCAACTGGGTCATAAAATCCTCATTGATAAAAATTGCACTTTCAGGCGCGGATATTCAAGTTTGTGAATTAATCAGCTGATGTACCGGAAACTCGAGATGCTCGGTACTGTAAGAATGCGGGGGCAACGATACGCGAGCACGTCGACGTCAGGATAATGAACATCGACGGGCAATCTGGAGAAGTGATAGGGAATAATCATGCAGCCCGAGGAGTTTTTCGCAACGCAACGTGCGCATGGCACGTTGAATTTTCCGACACACGCGACCCCGCTGCTCCACCGATCGAGGTTCGAAGGGTCGATCGAATCCAAGAAGATGATAACGATTGATGAATCGGCGGCGGCGGCGGCGGCGGCGGCGGCGGCGGCGGGAGCGGACATACAAAGTCGTATCGGACACGTCAACGGTATACTTTATTTGTATGGAACACCGCCGCTGATCCTTTTCTGCGTTATTTCGATCGCCATAAATATCAAGGTTCTTATGAGCGTATTTTGGATCAAACGGCCGCTCAGTCCAACCTTACACATCAGCTTGAGTCTGGCAGGTACAGTGATCGCGTGAATTTTTTTCTTATTTATAAAAATTAATTAATCCGCAATGAGATAATAGCTCGTGGCAGTCGCGATAAACGTTGGATCAAACAAGCAGCGTGCCTCTGAGGTTGTGCATTAATAAGTATATGGAGAATCGCGCGAGTTTACCGCGATATTCTTAGCGGGTGAAAATATTGTCTTTCAATCTTCCGTTTCACAGGGCTCGCGTTAATTCGTATACTTTTCAGTGAATAAAATTATAATCCACCTTGTGAACTGCACACCCGTCTGTTTTCGAGCCATTTTTCATCAACGGATTCCCTTTCGCTCTTCTTTAAATTATTTTTCCTTAATAAAAATTTCACGCGCGAGACTCCATATCCTCCCTCCCCCTCCGGCAACTTCTTGATCCGCAACATCACTTATCTTGACTAAACTTGGAAGTTAATTTACGTTAAAATAAAGTTGAGATCGAGTGAATAAAAAAATCAAGAGAACACTTGAAATTAGATAAAAAGTAGTTCCCATCTGTCAGAGAACTGTTTGGAAGTGGGGAGTTTTTTTTTATTTTTACGTTTTTGCTGCAAAAGAAGCGGTACTGAAGATAATTTGACGCGTGTTCAAATTGTAGGTATATTTTTAATTGTAACTTCGTTGTGCCTTTGCAGGCGCGGACGCTTTTTCCAGCACTGCTCTGGGCATAGGACTGATCATGAATAGTTTTATACCTTATGGTCTTGGAATTGAATTAAAAGGTAAAATTTTATCCTCGACGTATTCTCGGTTTGCAAAACAGCCATTGATAATTTGTTTTCGATCTAAAGTTGTTGATTAACCAGACTTAAAAAAGATTACCGACTTTTAGCAGATGATAAAAAACAGTGAAATCTTTATCTTCATCTTTAGAATGTGCGTGTAACTTTTTCCTGATAACAGGCCTGTAAGAACTTATTCTGTTTATCGAATTCTTTCTCGTCATAAAACACATCGCATATTAAAATCGAAGACACATATGCGTACAAATATTTTTCCGGAAATAAAATACCAATCGAAGAATCTGCTTCTAGGCGTAAGCTGTTTCCTATTGGCACTTGAAGCAGTAAGATTGGGAGGCGTGATAATCACTGTCTTTCATCTGATGGCTCTAGCCATCAATCACTACTTAGGCATCCTCAAACCTCTTCATTATCTTTCAATTATGACATACAGGTAATCACCACTCGCCTCCTTTCGTCGGGAAGCTCCGTCGAGTGGCATGAAAATATCTATATTCCTTCTTCTTTTAAGAAATACTACGTTTCTCTTGGTCCTGCTGTGGGTGCTACCAATCTTCTTCTTCGCGCTGTATTTTAGTTTAATCGAAAATGAAGGTTTCCAGTCCGTAGGGTGCGAGAAGAACGCGTAAGTGAAAAACCGCTGAAAATTCCTCTCGCTGATGCACGTACAAAGTATCTTCCTTTTAATGTGTCTGTGTAGATATGTTTGTGAACACGCATACTCAATATTTATATCGCGCGGAGGTATCGAATTAACACGATCAGACATATCGAATAAAACTACCATGTCGTGCTTCCAGGTTCTTATATCACAAGCAATTTCGAATGTTATTCAGCAGCCTCTTCTTCGGGCCGTTCGCCTTGATGGTTTGCATTTACGTTCACATATTTTGCATAGTAAAGAAACATCAAGCCACGAGACTGCGTTTTCGCAGAACGGGATCATCTTTTCGCCCGAGAGCATCGGAAGCGTTACGTAGCACTTCCAGGCAGATGGCGAAAAACGTCAAAGCGGTCCACACAACTTTGTTCATACTTGGTAAGCAGAGAAAGTTGCTTTGAAAGATACGAGCGAAGTGGCAAAGTAAGTTCTCGATGTATGTACGCGGGAGAAATATTTCTCTTGTATATGTTATATAATATCGCAGTTCTCATCTTTGATTTCTTCACGTCTTATATCCTTCCGTAAATAATCCGTTGAACACAAAGTCTTTAACGCTACCGCTCGCAATTTCTAAGGAAGCTTCCTGATCGGCTGGATGCCCGGAGTAATAATGTACATGCTCGTATGCGAGGACTGTCTGCTGCAATTTAATTGGCTATCAGGACACAGCACATTCTTCATTTACACGATAATCAACTGTCTAATAATCCTGAAGACCTTGGTGAATCCAATTATTTACGCCGCCCGAATGCACGAAATTAAGGTAATTGTCATGTAAAAAAAAAAAGAGAAAAACTTTACAGGAAACCGGCGAAGTTTCTAACATCGTGAAATTTTCAACTTATATTTTCATATGTGCATGTGTGCGTGTGTGTGATTTTTCAACTGATTCGCTCAATTTAAGATAAATATCGTATCGTATGCTAAAAACCAAATTTTCTAAATTTATTAAATTGCATTAAATTTTCTCAGGCAGCCACAAGGCGAATGCGCAACTCCTTCTGCGAATGGGTGACAGCGCTCACCGGTTTTACCACCAATCGGGGTATCAATAGAGTTCATAGCAGCGAAAAAACACGAAGCAGACATTCCCAGTCGAGGAATGGAACTTGTCGATCTTCGCATAACGTCAGCGTTCAAAGAGCTCGAAACGGGAGCACTTACACTTGTACGGTTTGTAACGTACGCGAATGTGGCAATACACTCGTGTAAATGTGAGAAACGCTGCGAAAATATTTTCTTGTGTTTCTGAACGTTTGTGCAAACATGAGTCGGCATGATCAGCGCTGAAAGAGCGATATAATGGCTACGACAACATTTTGGTAGCGTATTAAAATTCGTATTAATTCTTCCTGTTCCACATTTCCCACACTTTAGTTTAAAAGTTGTTGTAATAACTGTCTCTCAAGTTAACGCATCGTTGTAACCGTATTTTGTAATTCATACAACGGACCCAAACCGACTTTTATGAACATTAAACGTGATAAAAGTTTTTTCCTTAAGGCCGCAATCTGTATGTATAATTGTGAAATCATGTCATATCGCGCTTCGATATTCTTAACCCTGCTGTTATGTTTGTTCATTTTACTTTCATTGCGTTCAAGTTCAGCTGAAAGAACATCCTCAAATGTTCAAGTACGATTTTGATCAGATATACAATAAATTTGGATTATTTTGTGATGGAAATGTCGTGAAATGGTATTCTTTTTTTTCATTTTACAACACATCGATATAAAACAAATTTGATCTACATTTAAAATTAATTGCTAAAGATAGAATTTTTAAATAGATAAAAAGAAGGAAAGAATAACATAAAAAATTTAACTATCATGTTAAGAAGTAAGCCCGATATTATTTACATACGATATTCCTTTTCTATATTTTATAAATACATATCTTCAAAAAGGAAAAAAAAAGAAATTAATCATGAAATCAAAAAAATATTAAAATCAGTAATTGCATGTATTGTCGGGTTTTAAGAACGTAGATTAGTCGAAGAGGATGAAGCAGAACAGAACAATAAGGTTAAATCATGTGCGTGTTTCAATTGCTTTTGGATTTCTACATTTATATAAAAAAATATTTATTGTCATGACTCACCTACCATCCACGGCGTCAATAATCTCCGCTTGAATGCCCAATTCCTTGAAAAGTTTTTGCATCCTTCTACGTCTCTCCGGTCTTCTCAACAGATTTATCATGTAAATGTAATCCAGATTGAAGGTGTCCTTTTCCGGATATGTTACATATTGTTTCAGATCTTCTGACAGTGGCAAATAGTCGCTGTGGGCTGCACAAAAAATACACACGTGAATGCGTACTACGAGATAGCATAATGTATCGTTCCTATAAAAAATCACTGCTCGGGTATTATATATCCTGAACACAAAGTACAAATGTACTGTCTCGTCTATAACTAGAAATAATCAATTTCCATGTGAAATTTCCATGTGTTGAAATTATTTGTATGCTTTATCTAAATTTTAATGTACTTATATATTACTTGTTTCTTTTTATAAAGAAATTTTGTTACTTACGTAATATATTATTTAATTTATATATTATATATTATACGTTTTATAATTACATTATATATCATATATTGTCATAGAAATGTGTGAACTTACCCAACATTTCTACCTTCGTGTTAATCAACCGTTGCATATCCTCCGCGATAGTCTCATCTTTCTCCAGGGGTACCATGACAAAACCATAAATTTCGTCGTTACATACAAATAATGGCACATCTATGACACAAAACAATATATCTATATATACATATATATAAAATATACATATATATATATATACACACATACATGCATACATATATGTACACACATCAACGATGTTTCAAAATACTGTGCAGGATATCACAGAATAAACAAATGTAGAAAAACAATAAATCCCCTAACAATTTAGAGTCAACCTTTTCCCAACAGAGTATCCTATTATAAAAAAAATTTTTTTTTCCCTAAAACATCTCGAGAAAAAAGAACCATCATAACTTTACATACCCGATTTATTCGCTCCTATAGCGAATGTTATAATATCGTCTACGGGTCCATCGTAGCTGATCAGTTTTTCAGCCTTATAGGTCAAATGATCGGATTCGTATCTTCTCAAATCTATAAGAACTGCACTATGGATCATGGGCACATTGTGACAGCCGATCTCCTCGCGATACAAAATCGGTTCGTACTGATCTGTGCGTGCGTAATAATATTCCGCTGTCATGCCAGCCCAAAAATTACTATACATGCCGTCTGATTTCAATAAAGGTGCTACAACAGTTTCTCCTTTCAAAACCAAGTTTCGTAAAGTGCTTGAATTGGTTAAAAAAACGTCGGCATCCAGCATCTATAAAAAGAAATCGCCTTTTGCTTTAAAAATGCTTTCTTTTATATGCATAAAACATGCAAAGAAATATAAAATGTAAATTATGTAAATCTAATAGGAAATAAGATGTATAACTGCGAATTAGTAAAATTTTATTATTAATACAAATTATGTCTTTACAAAGAAAAATATAAAGTTGCTTCAGTATCAAATTATTAGCAAAAGAATGTTTTAATTTTATAGTTGATACTGTATACATTTATAAGGAAAACAGCTATTGATATATTCATAAAAAGAACAGTCAAACATTAATTATTTATACACAATTGGTCGATGTATAAGAACATCGTAAGATGTTTTTATTGCGTTGTTGAAATCATAAAATTAACTTACCCAAATGAAATCGGTCCATATTTGTCTAGCGTAATTAAGTGCTTGTTCGCGCAAATTTATTACATGTGCGAATCTACGGGATGACCAATCGGTGATCGTCTTCTCATCTTCGAACCCCATCGATGTTGCGTTTAAATGAACATTCAGGCAATGATACTTCTTGCCTTCCGAATTGATCCATTTATTTAGTATCTCTATAGTATTGTCCACATTGTTGTCGCTGCATATCCTGAAACGATCGATGTAAAATTGTCTCATGGATTCTTGAGCATCTAAAGACAAATTTCTCTCTCTCCTGCCTTTCACCCCCTTCGTATTCGAATTATGTTTGAATCTGTTATTATCTTTTCTTACAAATATCTTTTCAATTTTCTGTTAAATGTAAAACTAGAGAATCATGTAGAGGAGACCAGGCAATTGAGAACAATACTTACAGAATAATCATGTTTCAACATAGAAAAGCGCAAACCGAATGAAACAATATGGCGGCACTTTCGCGCTCTTGACGTGAAGTCAGATCAATCGATCGCGTAACCTCCGCTTCAATCGCAATATAATCGCGGCATATTTCAAAATTTTAAACAGATTTGAAATTTACACGACAGAAAGTAAGTAGAAATGCACATTAATGATAGAAAATCTCAACAAACGAGAATAATCCGAAATACATTAATTTTTTTTACTGTTGGTTCGCTTATAAATCCGGAATTAATTCTGATCGTTAGTTACAACACTACAATAATTACTGATACACTTAAATAATTATTGATATACAACTCGCAATAAGAGATAGTATGTCAATTTTCAAGAATTATGTATATACTGATACGTATAAATTATTCAGTTTATACTACTTCGGTATTTATAATTTTAATATCGATTTCTCTTTCTCTCTCTCTCTCTCTCCAAAGATTTTTGTGAGTTCTCGTCATTTTGCCGACGTGGCGAGGGCGTGAGAAAGAGAGGTAAGGTTATGTGTCGCTTCATGATATTCACCAAAGGCACATTCGTTCCTTAGGATAATCCAGCTGCTCCATGAGACTTAGAAAGTATGGCAACGTGTGTGCTTTATTCCTGACTAGAATCGTAATGAGCACAGTTGGCTCCTTCGAGATCCCGTTGTACATAGCTACACATACTACGCCGATAACAGAAAGAACGAAAAAACAACCTCGAAAGATTGCCATGACGTACATATAAGACAGGCTCGTTTTATGTCAAACTACTAAAAAGAAGTCGAAGTGCAAAAACAGTGATTATATCAAAAGATAGCACAACGGAAAATCACACATTCTCGATGCTCTTCACGTATCATCACATGCGTGGGTGTACACAATCGGTAAAACAGTCAACTGCAAGAAAAATATATACGATCCCAATTACTTTAATTTGATCTGTTAAGTTCTAAATATGAGATAGGAAAATCATTCTTAAAAATATAAAATTCTTTATATACATTGTATACAGAAAAGTTCAGTTCTTTTACATTGTATAAGATACAATTCTAGTTTTCATATCCTGTGAAAAAATATTGTATAAATCTACACAGTGTATATTAAAAATATGTCTTTATTAGCAAATGATCTTCAGATTTCTTCTTTTTATTCGTTATCATGAGCTTTTTTTACTTCTTCCTTTACTTCTGATTTCACCTTCTTCTTCTCTGCGTAACTGAGTTTGGTTTTATCAAATTCCATTATCATTATTCCTAAATCTCCACTATACCTGTTTTTTGTAATCTTGTAACACAAGAGATATAAAGTTTGGATTTGTATTTTGAAAACTAATGAATATTATCTAATGTTTATGATTATATACCTGCAAATACTTCTTTCCTCTGATATTAGTAAGTCTTTTATCTTGTATAATTAATACATTATCAGCTTCTTGGCTTGCTTTGGCACTGCCAAATATGGACGAATTCGTCAATTCATCATCTCTCTCCTTCCTCGGATGTATGACCAGAGTCACGTGACAATTATATTTGGTAGCAAAATTTCTAAATTCTTCTATAATTTTATCTTGCTTCCAAAATCTGCGATTTAATTCTGTATAAATTCCAAATTTCAGAATTATATAATATAGATAAAACACATGTGCCTTACCTATTAGTTTTTGAATCTTCTGATACACCCATCATAAATTGCATGTTATCAATTATCACGTGAGCTATATCATGTACGTATGTTGCGTGTTGAACTGCCTAAAGCCGGGAAAAGAATTATTGTATATATATGTATGAAATAGAAAAAATATATCCAATTATAAGTAAATTGATATATATCGTACATCCATTACAATTTTGATGCTCTGTTGACCATGAAAAGTCATAAAATAAATTGGCAACTTATTGAAAACATCTGCATATGTATTAAATTGGTCCAAGTTTTCTTCTAGAGACACCTCTATCATTTGTTGCAACATAGTTTTTGCTAAGCGTGCATTCCTAATTTCAAAACTACCCCACAGTGTATTAACCCCTTGCATTGCTAAATCTAACGAATACTCGCTCATAAATGTAGTCTTGCCACAGCCTGAAAATATAATATGCATGAAAATATTACTTTACATAATATTACTGTACAGTAAATTATGTAAAATAATTTAGTTATTTAGTTAGAATAATTTAATTATTCCCCTGTAACAAAAGAGTAATTTCAATCGACTTACTACTGTCTTACCAGTTGGACCAGTTAAAATTGTGAGTTCCCCTCTCCTGTGACCTTTTAAAGTTCGATTCAGAGTAGGATACCTTTTCCACTTTACACCTTGAACTCTGTCTATATTTTGTAAGTCACACAATATATCTTGTCTGAGATCATCAAAGGTAGTGATACTTTTATGCCATATTGGTTGTGCATTTGTCAAGATATTTTTCAGATTATAATCCTTATCAGCAGCTAACTTTGGTCTAGGTTGTGTGCCTATTGGCCTTACAAAAGAGCATCTTTTCTCATTTAATTTCTTAGCAAACTGTTTAGCTGTGTACCAGCTGGGCTCATCATTTCCAAACCATAAAATCAGTTTCTTGAAATTTTCCAAACTTGGTAACAGTTGCTGTGGCAGATACTGCAGGTTGTATGGCAAACAGATAATTGTATTTGCCGCCTTTTGAAACACTAATGCCAATAAATCATGTATTGTCGGTACAACCACTGCAGTCCCATCATTTCTGGTGTTTTTCTGCCTGTAAATGACACAACCTCCGACATTAGAAGTAGGTAAGGTTTGATCCAATTCTGATTCACTGGAAATTATTTTGTAACCTACAACATTATTGCCAAAAGCAATTAATGGAAAATACAGCAATGCTGGTTTAGCTGCATATATACCACTTAACTGTGAGATATCTTGTTGTGGGATTTCCTGTAAATATATTTAATATTTACAAATATTGAATATATTTAATAATTATTGAATGCAGGAAATTATACAGATATATAAAAAGCACGTGTATACATTTCTTAATATATATCAATTCACTTAACTTACTGGAAGAGAAAACTTATGTACTATTTCTTGGTATAAGTCTGGTGATAAATTCGAAATGAACTGATTAGATTTAGTTATGTCATTCCAATTTGGAGCAAAATTCTCCTCAATTGTTATTGTATTCCTTAAAGTTTCCAATTCCTTCTGCGTATTACTTGATTTGGTTGACTTTGTTAACAACAAAAACCTTTCTAATAAGTCCCATGTACCTTTAGAACTACATTTATCACATGTAAAGTATCCTGAAATAAAACTTTTATATTTAGTCATACATATCTATTTATAAACCTATTTATAAATCTTTTTACACATTATATAATACTACCTGTTATCTTATTAATATAAATCTTTGCTTTTCTGGATTTTTCTATGTCACATATAGGACAGTCTACAGATATACATGAATATCCATCAATACTCGTAATCTGTTTCTGTTTTAAAATTTGTTTTATATGAGATATTGAAATTCCAGGTAGCACATCATTGTCAATCTTATGAAAACAACGATAAAACAATTGAGATTTAATACATCTATCTATGTATAGCAGATTTATCAGGAACTTTGAAAACATTTTTATTTTTTAACAATATTTGAAAATTTACACGGCAAATATAATAGTGTTATTTTCATTCAATATTACAATTGTTTTCGTCAACTGACTCTGATAATAGATAGATGAAATTGCATTTTACAAGTATTCTCTCAATTTTTCTTTATATATTTCTTTAGAGATAATTCCAAAGAATTCATTGACTCACAAATTTAACATAACAGTAAAAATATTACTGCAGTATTAATAATGTAGTACTGCACAAAGTTTTTAAGTTATTTGCCGGTTTATTATTTTCTTCTTTATATTTAGCGTACTACTCAACACGAATACCAATTTCGTCTGCATTCCGTTATTTACTACCAAGTGGTCTGTTCTTTTTAGCTGCACTACTGAACTGGTGCAATAAGTTAAGCCAGCGGCACACGGTGCTTGTTTTCGTGCTGGATTGCTTGCTGGATGAAAATACTGCGGTCTGATTGGTACATTTTCATCCATCTTCGGAAATGTACCAATCAGAACGCAGTATTTTCATCCAGCAAGCAATCCAGCACGAAAACAGGCACCGTATGCCGCTGGCTTTAATGTGAGAAAAAATATAGTTGTCTCATTCTAACTTATTGCACTAGTTCTGCAGTGCAGCTAAAAAGTACAGACTAATAGTCTGTGTTCATTTTCGAAGGACTTCTAAACTAGTGCACATTAGTGCAATAAGTTAGAATGAAGGAAAGTATACATGTTTCACTCTAACTTTTGCAGTGGTGTACAAGTTTTTCAAAAACGAACAGATATATCATCTATGATTGGTTGACTTGCTTGCTGCTTACATTTTTCTATATGCCATTGGCATATAGAACAATACGGATAATGTGGCTGCTCTTCAGCCACTATTCCATGTGTTGGAGGAGTAATTTGTTGGATGTATTGATTGGCTGTTGTGATAGAGAATTTCTAAGGTCCCTGACATTTTTAGGGCCACCCCAAACATTTTCTATTCAACGACCAATCGACATATACGACAAATTCGCCGTACGACGCGTATAAATATTGGCCTTGAGTTTTCCTCTTCATGAACTGATTCGCATCCGTGTGATTGCATATGGCTACGTGTGAGAGGTGAGGTTAATCTCTGAGGAAAACAACTCACATGACGATTGTAAACGGCTATAAATCGTAAACAAAACGATGCATGTGTTGTGTTCGAAAAGTTGCAGATGCTGACAACTGCTCATCAGTTGATGTGTGGAAGTATGCACAGCCAAGGAAGCTGCTGATAAAGCAATACCGATACACAACACACTATAGAGAATGATTCACCTCGGCTAGGTAACCCTGATCTCTGAAGCGCCGTTAATGATGTATTTGCTGTTACCGGGCAGGTAACGCATGCTCCGCATAGCGGATACCTCGTCGTGGTTGTAGACTTTAAACGTCAACCCGCGTAAACATGGCGCAAATACAAACATCAACGATGGACGGATTGCCTAAGCACTTCGTCAATGCGATGCGTACGTTGTTCGATATAATGGACGACCAGAACACCGGCTACGTCAAGTTCGTTGACATCGAGGGTCGTTGGCAAGATGACGGCACTCAAGGTTTACCCAAGGGCGTGTTGGATAGTCTAAAGAGGGTCACACCACCGAATGGTATGCTCTCATTCGAGAGATTCTGCGCGGGTCTGAAGATCTGTCTGCTGCAGATTCAGACGGAGGCCAACTCTAAGAAGCACGATGGTCAACCCAATAGGCCACCGTCCGCGCCAATACTCATTCCAGATAGTCAGAACAAAGCGGCATGGACCTCCCCCAATACAGCTGCCATAAGACCCAACAATGCTATATCTCAGCAACGTACTCTCAGCATGCCGCAGTTACTGGCCAATCGCAAGGACATGAATGTGCAGCAGCTCGAATTGATGGATGGGAGAAACATTGGTGAACCAAAAATCAACAAAGTGTATGGCCCACCAAAACCACCACGGACTGGCGCCGCTTTGGAAGGTAGAACACAATTGGGCGCAGACAGAAACTTTGACAAGTCTGAGATCAGGACTGCTCTGCAAAATTGGCAAATGGGCCTGATGATGAGTGACGAAAAGGCAGTAGAAAAACGTCAGTTACAGACTGTTAACTATAGACCAGACGCCAGGACGTTATTGAGACCGACTAGAGCTCTGGGCGACGGTAAGGCAGTCGATATGCAGAGCAATCAGCTTGTTCTTCAACCTAAAAAACCGTCAAATCGTCGCAGAGAACCCAGGCGGCATACGTTGCAGAATGGTATTGATTACAATATGGTAAAGATGTTCTCCTCTAGGACTCCCAATTAACACATGGTGACTGGTTTTGGGTATGCATGGACTTAATTAAAATATTAACAGCAATATATATTCTATAAGAATGAAAAACATATATTTCTTGTTATTTCCGAATCAGTGTAAATTATGCATAGTTGGGAAACCTGTAATTTTGATGTTCCCAAAAGAAATGTCTCTGTGACGTCTAATGTTTTCAGATGAAAAGGATGAAGCAGATCGAACAGGAGAAGGACGTACTGCTTCAAGGTCTAGCTGCCGTCGATAAAGCTAGAGAATGGTACTTGAAGCAGATCTCTGCTACACAAGAGAAGATTAAACATCTTGGACGCATGGGTTCTCATGTGGTACACAAAATACTATTTATTTCCACTCACATACACACTTGAGTGATGATGAGAAAGTCCCAAATTTTTAAGACAATACAAAGACTAAAACACGGATTATTTATTTTTTACATTTTACAAAACTGTATGTCAAATCATACATATTTGTGACTCTTTATTTCTCGTAGGAGCAATGGACAGAAGCACAGCAGGAACGTTTAGAATTGCAACGTGCCCGAGTTTTGGAAGTGAATCGACATCTGGCCGCTCTGATAAGCAGCTGGGAACGTGGAGGTCTTCCTCTTCACATGAATCTTGCTTTTCTGAGCATCCCGACCTCGACTCAATTGCAACAGGACATGCTGTCGAGGCTTAAACAGCAAAATCACAGATTAACCGAGGTAATGTACAAAACAGTAATGGTAATAGTAAACAGCAGAAAAATCGTCGGACCTGATTAATCTGACCTGCTTTGCTCGATACAACGCCGAAACAGGAAGTCAGTAAAAAGAGCCAACGGATAGCATTGCTCGAGCAGGAGAAGGACAGTTTGGTTAGAGAATTATACAATAGACAGCCTGGACTGGTTCAATCTCGAAGAGCAACGATGATCCATGAACAACATGATCAAACATTCATGTAAGGTACTAACGGTACTCATAAGCGCACTCGCTGAACGAAATATAACCACTAATCTCTGATTGTATCAAAATATTTTTTTTCCAGAATATGAGTTATTCCAGACGAGAATACACGAATGGCAGAATAAAGTTTTAGATCTTAAATAGCATGTGGAAGTAAAAAGAGAGGAAAAGAGAAGTAAGAAATTAAATACAAAATATTTGATATATTGTATTAAGGTAACGTCAACGCTTCCTTATCTTGATTCGACATCTCTCACATTAAGGCTGTAAAGTATTTACTAATAGTACTCGATTACTATTTAGACAATTTACTTGTAGCGGATAAAGCAAAGTGCCTTAAGATTCATGTAATCTGTCCGAAAGAAAGAATTCGCCTTAATAAATTATTATTTTAATTAATAAACATTACACTCTCGAGGCGTTTTCTCTCTTGTCTCTCTTTGGTATCTTGTAGTTTTCTAGCTACAAGTCTTGTACTTTTATCTGTGCTTTCGGCCGCGTTCGTTGATCATTCTTGACACGACGATCCTGAGTCTACAAAAATTTCATTGCATTTTATTTTTCTGTGCTTAAAACGGCAAATGTTACAGGTTCATTAACATCGTATACGTGTGATGTAAATGTGCACACACAGGCGTGTACATTTCAACGATTTCCGGAGTTAGAGTCGCTGATGTCAAATGTTATCGAATTCTGAAACATGCGATAGGACGTTATTAAGATACGCTGTTAAATCCGTCTCTTTAAACCCGCTCGATCGATGAGTGTATGTGTGTGCGTGCATGCGCGCGTATATTAATATAGAAAACATTATCTTATAACTCGAAAACAGAAATTTTATAACTGAAATCTTAATCTTTCATTTTGTTATATTATGTTATAATCGCGAATCATGAAAAGTATAATTCAATGAGCTAAGATGTCCGTGAAAATTGTCAGATGAATGCACTTGAAAACTGATGTGTAACTGACTTGTAACTGATAATCTCTTCTCCAACTTTCTTGAACAAGCCAAAATCGCTCAAGATTCAGTTAATATTACGACGCGCCGTTTCTTTCGTGAACAAGCGGAGACAAAATCAACATATGTGCCCGCGAACGATGCCGAATATCCGAACGGTATAAAACTCAGAGCTCGCACTGGCCTGTCGACCACATGTGGTGTATTCAGAAAAATAATTGACAGAGCTGCATGTGCGCCCAAGGACGGCAATTCGACGAATTCGTAAGCGCACACGCATCACTTCTAGCCCTAACGCGGTAAGATTTAATCGGAATATTCTCATTCATATAAGATACGAGATCACAGGCACAGGGAGATCTTTCTGAAAATCGAAGAGTAAAACTGCTTCTTCAATATCCCCGTCAGCCGATGCTGATAAGAAACATCCAAGTACGAGCATTAAAGCATCTGAAGGTTCGGCCTGTAAGATTCCTCTCGGAGGAGCACTTGCATCGTGAGTCGACGGTCGCCAGGCTGCTGCACCCCACGCACTGCTTCTCGGAGGGCGGCTTCCATACAATCACGTCTAATCAGTCAGTCAGCCGCTACGAGTCGGCGGGTACGGTTGATTCACGTCCAGCTCTCTCTCTTTCTCTCTCTCTCTCTCTTTTTCTCTCTTCGGGCCAGCTCAGCATTGTCCTTGAAACGACGACGCTCAGACTGCTCAGGCTACTCAGGTTGCAGCGCGGCCCCCATCAGAGACCGCGCTGACCCCGGTATCCCCTGTCGGCCGGTCGACCTTTGACACTCTCATCGAAAAGCGACGAAAGCCTCTCTCAGCATCGCTCAGGCCGCTGGCCGAACGGTCGACGATCTCTCTCTCCTCCTTTGAGCTCTTCTCCTCGTCGACGCTTATCCACGGATTATCACCGTCCACGACGTTCTCTCCCTCTCTCCGTCTCTCCCTCTCTTTCTCCCTGCCCTGCCTCCCCCGCCGTGGGATTCTGCTCTTTTTCCTCGACGTTTCCATCGCTTCATCGTCCGAGATCATCATGAGACTAACGCTGTCGGCTGCTCTGCTGCTCTTAATAATAGGTACGGCTCATCATGAGATAAACACGCATTAGGTAGCCGAATTACTTCGGCGGCTCTTCTTTCGGGAGTCACCTCGTTTTCTTTGCTATCCTCATCCTTAAAATAAGTAGGATATATTGAAATTTCCGCATAAACAGACCTATTTGAGAAAAATTGATACTCTTCACTGTTTAATCATCAAATTTGGCAGGATCTCTGTATCGGTAGTGAGACTTTTTGGATTCATCTCTTGGATTAAGTCTAAAGTACTAATCAAATTGCACTTTACAGTCTAACTGAAAACTTTTTCCTAGATACCGTTAACTTCGAATCTGTCGTGCTAATTGTAATTAAGTAGTGCTCAAGAGGTGAAAACCAAATAACAAAATTTTGTTTACGTGGGGAAACGGTTTTGCTGTTCGTTTCAGAATGGTTTGTTTAAGTAACGAAACTGCGATGAATATTGCTGCATGAAAGACAAGCGAAGTTGAAGAAAGAACACAAATATATTTTGTGAAAATATATTCAAAACCATCTATATGTCCATGATTTAAAATGGCGGGATCTCTACTGTTCGCGTTTACACTATGTGTAAAACACATAGAGATGCTTGAAAGAATATCGATCGCACTTGAGACGGTATAATTTTTTTTTCGAAAAATTTCTCTTTTGTGCACTAAATATTAGTTTGGCAGATTTGTGAGATATGAAAATCATCGTTTGAAAAATATTGAGTGTCAATTGAGTGGAAAATATACCTTAGCGATGCCAGATAATTATCAAAAACTCAGTGACTTATTTAATACGAATTAAATATAAAAATACATTTTAGTACATTAATGTGTAGTATATGTGTACTCTCACTTATTTTATTAGAAAAAATAATTTTGCAATTATGCCAATGAAGCTCTTGTTAAAAGCTCTTATATTAAGACTATAGATAGAGTACTCCGCTTCTTTTCTATTTTTACTTCTTTCTTTACTACCTCAGATAATAGTGTGGAATATACATACAGCTTTCTGATATTTTAATCCGAGCTCCCCCCCTCTCTCTCTTTGTATAAAAAGTAAACAGTCTTCAAAACGTATATGTAATATTCCTATTATAGCATCCTCTCAGGAAAGTTAATCTTTCATAGAATAGCAACAATACACGAGACGCATTTTCATTTTGCCTTTCGGAGTAATTGAACGATAAACGCGCGCGACGTACCGATAATAAATGGCGTTTTCAATGACGAACGATCCCACACACGCCCGCCTTTCTGATTACGCGTTTAAGACAAACCGTCGATTAGTAATTAGCGCTGAATGAATCCAATGAGACGGAGTCACGTCGCGTCGGTTCGAAAACATGAGGGAGTTACCGAACATCGAGTCGCGACGAGGCGTGCATTTTATCGCGCTTTATTGGGCCGCGGATAATAAAGAGGATCTAAAAATCGACGTCGGCCCACGCGCGCGCACGGGCTACTCTCTCTCTCTTTCTCTCTCTCTCTCTCTCTCTCTCTCTCTCTCTATCACGCTGGAAAGACTTATCAATCTGGACAAGTGGGAAGTGCAGCCGGCCGCATCCGGCGCAACATTTGCCCGCCCTAGCGCGTCGCTATCTCCTCCGAGGTAAATAAACCGTAGATATTTCTACACGCCGGCGGCGGTGCGCTCACACGGAAAAATAACACGAGCAATTAGTCCGTAAATACCAGCCAACGGTAATTGCATTGCATTCATCGATATTATAATTTCCCAGTTTCGGCAATGTGTAAGTGCAATATAACACGAGTTGCACACAACGTAATTTGTTATAGAATCCGATACAGCACAGAAAATTGCAGCAACATTGCTGCAATGTCGCAACATTGTCGCAATGTTGCCGCAACTTTTGTGCTGTATAGGATTTTTCTGTGTAATTCCCGCCTGTCAATCCCGTTGCCATTGTTCAACCGATGCATTGCCCGATTAACGCTAAGCTTCCTTTCGCCAGCAATCATATCGTCAGAGGGCTGCGAGTTGGACCAGATGCGACACGGATGTCGCATTCACAACGCGAAATGCAAATGCGGCCACGGCTGCAAGTCCGAGTACAGATACAACAACACCGACGACTGCGAGTTAGCGTTGAAGGGTAATGACAGACTAAATATCACTCGACTCGGTCAGCTCGCGAAACAATTAACACGTGTCTCGCAACTTTGTCTCTTCCCGAAAGAGAACGAGAAGAAGCAATTCAATTGCAATTGCAATTGCAATTGCAACACATTCGTCGGGAAACTTTTGCTCTCGATTTGTTGCTTCAATTAACTCGGTAAATTAAAACGATAATGATCGGATACATAACATCAACGAGATCGGTGATCGGGAAAGAGATGTCGAATATCACGTTTTCTCGTCGTAAATGAACGTAAGGTTGTCGCTCGTGATATTCAAATTCAAACTCAACGAAATTGTACTCATACAGCAACACTGTAATATTGCAGCAACGTTGAAGCAATGTTGTTGCAACTTTCGCGCTGTATGGATATCGACATCGATCTTCTTTTCTTTGTTCATCGTTCTCCCCTTTTCTTGCGTTGCAGGAAGACGCAGTGACTTGTGCTCACGATCGAAACCTTGTCAGAACGAGGGCTCGTGTTCCCAGATATCGTCGGATCCTGGATTTAAGTGTCGCTGCGAAGGGACCGGATTCTACGGCACTTACTGCGAGATACGTTAGTATTATCTTCTCCGGTGAGACAGTAGCTTAGGATTAGTGAGCTGATATTTTGATGGCGGGATAAAGACAGCGTGTATTTTAACTAACAATTTAACTGAAGCTGTCGCATTTTTCTTTCTTTTCTTCGAGTTTCTCTCTCAAAAGATTGTTAACGATAACGCAAAGCAAAAAGCGAAAGGAGAAAATTTACGCAGACGATCATATGTTGCAGCTTGTCCAAAGACGAACAGTCCACACTTCCAAGGACAGTTTCCATACGAGTGCATCGTCATCTAACTCGGGTATTTCTCTCTTTGTTTCTCGTCTGGTCGAACTCATTTTAATATGATACATACGTACAAAAGGGGAAAAGACGCATTTCACAAAACGTATTTACACATCTTCGTACATACATAATAAATGTTAAAACAGACAATGCGCCACTTTATCTTCCTGAATTTTCTTTTTACAGTTTCCCCATGTTTCCAAAAACAGCATATAATCATCCATACTTGAAACGTCTCATGAATATCGGTGCAAGCACATCGACGAGAGTGGAACATTAAATATATAGCCCCTAGTAACTCCGAAATCTCGTGGAAAGTAGTACATATATTTCGATGCTTCCACTGTTTATTCGTCAATAATTTTACAATATGTATGCACATGATGTGTTGGATCCATGAGTGTTTTTTTTTCTTTTTCTTCCTTTTGCAACAAGCGCTTGGTTTGTATCGTGCTTGTGTTATGTACTTTACGTTATTTTATGTTACTTCTTTCTCTCTCTCTCTCTCTCTTTCTCTCTCTCTCACACTCTCACTCTCACTCTCACTCACATACCTCTACGATAATGCCACGTGTATACCTCATTTATCACTCACAGATGGCAAAACTTATAAAACGTGAACCACTTGTTCCTTACATAGATAGTTCTTTTTTCTTTGTTTTTCTTTTTTTTTTTTGTAATTTTCACCGTTGCATGTCCACAGAATCCGTAATACTAATTTGATTTCGACAACACGAGACTGCATCAGGAACTTAACGACATGTGTGTACATATATATTTATATATAATATATTATCTAAGACAAACATAGTTGGCCAGTTATAACTTCTTTTTTTTTTTACCTTTTCATTTTTATAAATTCATAGACGTATCTTCAACGGAGTGGACTCGGTATCATAATTCATTGTAACGGAACGCTCCGCTTCTAACGCGATAAAATTATTATTATACATTCAATTTTTTTTCAGTGAAGTATCTGCAGCGCACAAACTTTTCCTCGATTTTACCGTTGATCGATATCGCGTATAGTCAACACCTGCGCTTGCATATAATCTCATTTCCTGTTTCTCTGTTATTCATCTGTCGTAAATTCATATTGCGTATTATGTATGTGTGTATGTCTGTGTGTGTATACAAGGTAAAACGTTAGTAATTCGAAGGAAACTATATAAATAAAAATTGTGTATCAACGTGTAGGTATATATATATTTTTTTTAATAAAGACAGACAGAGCGTCATCATTAGAACATACAAACAGGCAGGTTGTCAGCGGTCCAAACTTCTATATAATCTGGGGATCTATTTCTGCATTCTGCGTTCTGCACTTTGAACCGAATAAATTGATGTATTGGCCAAATTTCTATCAAAGGAGTATACTAATCAAAAATTTTTCAATGATTCCTGAAAACTATTGATTATTTCAGAAAAGTAACATCGAATAGACGAGTTTAGCAGTAAATTTATGAATATGCGGAAAAATTAATCAAAGAGAGCGTATTGAAGTAAGTCTTAACGTTATATTCGAATATTAAACAAACTTCCTGTTCGTTTTCTCCCTTTAATGAGATGATAAAATGAGTCGTTGTTCTTTTTTAATTTTCTTTCTTTTTCCCTTTACTCTTATACTCTTTCGGCCCTCGTTCACCATCCAGTTTCACTGATTATTACCGTTATAATTATTTTTTGTCACATTAGTCTGAATTTGGCAAACGTTTACGATCATGCTTACAATAATAATTTCGGTATTGAAGTGTACGGACTAAAAACAAATAATATAGATTACAATTTGGATAATCGATAACCCCGTCTCAATGGCGAATTACTCCTCTATGGCACCAGGAGTGTGCTGGCATCTTTCTTGGCTAAAGCCGCGCGTACCATCGGGCCCTCTCGGTTGCCTGACTACTGTCAATTTTGGGCCTGTATCTTCCATAGATATAGTACGTAATCGACTTATCAGACGCTCAGGTCGTTGCTGGACCGCATCGCTGTTAAGGATAAAAGTTTCTAAGTAAAATTATATTATACGTCGTATCTATTACGTATATTGTGATAGATACATATATGGAAAGTATATTATTATATTACGTAGTATATTATAAGTATATTACGTCTACGTAAAATGTTAGATATTAAAAAGGATATTTCAGTAATTTATGTTGATCAATATTCTTCTGCTTCACTTATATGAGACAATACGAGAATAGTACGTTACTGTCTATGTCCATTTACCTTAATCGAGTTACGTTGCACGCCGAAGATTTGCCGGTGCGTTGATTAGTAACCAAGACGAATTCAACCGAGTCACCTGGTTGCAACGTGGCGTGATCTCTAACCTCACTTATGTGGAAGAATAATTTTTTGCCCTCATCGACTTCATAGGCCAGGAAGCCGAAGGGGCCCTTCACAGCGTCCACGGTCGCTCTTCTCTTTTTTCTGACGGCTACGATATTACACGCATGGCCGGCTGAATCTACTTGCAGTTGCACAGGATCACCAGCTTGCAATAACTCCCGTTTGTTAGACAAACCCATAATTCCGAATTCATATTCCTGCGTCTCCTCGTCTTCGTTAGTAGGATTGATCTTTATCAGGCCGGCGTACTCAGTCTGCTCGGGATTCGCGCTTCGCAATGGTCGTATGACAGTGCCATCGAGCACTTCGCTAACTGGTGTCGGCCTAGGAATACTTCCACGAGGCACCAATTTAACATGATCGGCGGCTACGCAACCTCCAGAACCTCTTCCATTGCCAGAACTACTAATTGTACATTCGATATCAGCTCCCAATTCCAACGCACTGGCATCTCCTTCAAAGTTACTGCGAATAAAACATCAATCGAATGTTATTTTTCGCATTTAGGCAAGCACATACGTATGAATTTATGAGTAATAATTAATTAATTCATCCCTTATTTTTATTTTTAATTATGTATGTAATTATTAAAAAGCTTAATATACATATATACATAGGGTAGATTATGGAAATGAAAAGTAAAATTCTCACCTGTAGTGGAAAAATATTTCTTTATCGTGATTTACTGTCTCAATAAAGCCAAATCCGTCCTTAAGAGCAGCAATAAAACCTTGACAAACTTGTCCATTTGATTTTTTGTTTGTATTTTGAATTTTCTCACCAGCAGCATTTATTAAAAATATGTCAACAGCAACAAGTTCTTTATTTCGTTTTACTTGACAAACACTGAACATCACCTATTTATAGAAAGATATGCAAAGAATATGTTTTCCTTAAAAAGGGGGCGTATACTATCAGTTCGCACAGAATTATTTTGTACAAACTTACCTTATCATTCAATTTCGGGATATTTTTAGGGTCGCAATCTTTAGCGAAGAAAATAATGCTCTTCTGCTGGCCATAACCAATAAGGCCAGGTTCGACTGAACTTGTGTCCTGTATTACAGTACCTAATATATCCGTCTCTATAATAGTTTCAAATTGTACGGTACCAGCTGGCAAATGTTTCAGCCTAATAGCACTTTGTCGATTATTCGAGAATGATGATGAAGGGTCCTTGTAGGGGAAAAAGAAAATAACGGTTACGAAACAATGCAACGAACAAAAACATCACTAAATGTTATGCGTCCGATTATACTTACTTGTATGATCGTAAATTCAACTTCATCCCCTACACTAATTTCTCTATCAACATCGAGAACCTCGTTAAAGTGAAAGAAAAGTCTCGCATCTCGATCTACACAACGAATAAAGCCAAATCCGTCCTTAAGAGCGGCGATAATACCTTGCTCCCGTCTTTCCCCAGACACAGTGAAAGATTCTGGTAATAATAATATCTCTGTAGCTCTTTTGAGCTGATCTCTCGTGTCTGTTGCAATACGAAACTGAACCCAGTCTCCATGCCTATTAATAAAGATAAATTTGCTTTTACAGATTAACTGTTGAACAAATAAACAAATGCCGCTTATATCTACATAAAAGTAAAATATATACACATATAAAGTATAATATATATTTCATAAATAGAAATAAAATATATATACGTGTACAAGAAAAGGAAAATATTGTTGTATCGATTCAAATATATTACCTAAGTGTAAAATCTCCCTTCTGATCCTTATCACCAAAAGGTACCTCAACTTCAGAATGATCTTCACTGTCTCTATATCGGATACGTCCAGGTAACGGGTCATTTTGATGACGAGCTGCGGTACCTCTCTCTAACGGTTTTAACACTTGTCCTTTCACCACTTCATTGCTGACTTCTTCAAATACGATTGAGCCGGGTGGTAACTTTGTAATGTTACAAGCTACCTCTTTTCCCTACAACAACGGAATATCCTAGATTTTTAATTTTCTGCTGTATAGTATGTACGCACATATTAGTATAAAAACACATATTTCTATTGATGAGAAGTTCACTCACGATTTTCATTTTTCACTTACATTGCGTGTCTGTATTATAAATTCCACATCATCTCCTAGCCTAAGTTCCTCTTTCATTGACTTGGCCTCACTAAAGTGGAAGAATATCTCCTTAACTACGTCGGCACGCTCAATAAAACCAAAATTTTCTTTCATTGAACACACCACTCCGCGATAACGAACCGGATGTGCTGGATTCTCCAGCCTTACGTGACACGCGCCCAAGTTTCCTCTAAAATTTAACATTGACGTGAAATGAAATGTTACAGCTTACGCAATTTCATATTAGATGCTGACGATCGATGCGGCTCGTACCGTTGATTGGTAGCAATTTGAAATGACACTTTATCACCAGCACGCAAAGTGACGTTCCCTTCGACATCATCTTTGGTATATGGCAGAAAAAAGCATTCTCCTCGATTTTCATAACTGATACGTCCTTGTGAGTCACCGCTCGCTTGTAATTCCGTTGTTACATTACCGATGCATCGTTGATCACCTAATGCCTGAAAAGAAATTATATCTCCGTTTATTTATATATCTGCTTCTTGATATTACCGGGAGCCTACACTTGCTCTATTCATGTCATTATTATTCTACTAACCACTGGAGCGATCTTGCTAACAGTACTAGCAATAGGCTTGCCTGTTCGCCGATCGTAAGTCATTTCAAACTCCACTGGATCTCCAATCTTCAAATGCTCTATGTTACCACTAAATTGGCTAAAATGAAAAAACAGTCTTGCCTGTCTTTCACAGCATTGTATGAACCCATAAGAATGCTGTCAAACAAAAGTTTAAGTTATGTGAAAATCAATCATTTGTATTTAGGTTGTAGAGAAACGTAAAGTTCAATGTCAACCATATAATCACTCACCAATAATTTCTCGATTATTCCAGTTTCTCGTGTCCCTTGATTCGCAGACTGATCCTGATAGGAAGGATTATTTGCCGCAGGTTCGCCAGTGTAACCAGCATTCGTCTCCATGCTCGTGAATTCAAATGGAAATCTTGTGGCGCCGTTGCGTGGTGATGTTTGTGCACCAGGATAACTTCCATAGTTAGTAGTAGTAGAATTTTTACCGCATTCAGGAGGTGAACCCATATAGTGATCACCACTGTAGTTGGTACCATTTCGATAGTTGTTAGTCGTCGACTGATGAGATCCCGTTATGGCTTTAGGACTTGGTATAGCCATAGACTTATAGTCAAGTATTGCTGGGTCAGAGTTCATGATTGGCGGCTGGAACGTTTTCCACTGAGGATTGCTGGACATTGTCTTCTCAATTTGCGCAGTGCTTGTATGTGTATATGTTATATGTGTATAATATTTACGTATAATTTAGATTTTCTTCTCTTGAAAGAATTACTTAATTCCTTTTTATGTTTACACTTCTGTTTCACCACAATATATATATGTATATATATGCATATATATATATATATTTATTTATATATATATATATATATACACACACTTATATTTAGAAATTTTTAGTCTTTTCAATTATTTAAGTGTTAACATAGATATCACAGAACGGTTCTTGGTACCTTATGTCTTTGTTCACTATTATAATGTTACAAGAACTTAATGAAGAGGAAGAGTGGCTCCTTGAAATGCTGCAGAAATGCAGGCTTCTTCGTGACCAGGAAGTGGAAGTGAGGTCTCTTCAAAGTATTTTAACACGTATCGTGAATTATTTATCGAAGAGTACCGCGGTAGCTCGACACGAACTTGGCACTCCTTGAACGTAGATATAGATGTTCTATCAACCAAGTGGAGCAGCACAATCTCAGCCGCAATCACAATCACGGTCACTGTATTGGCTCACCTATCTCTTGCTCACAAGGCTTGTTGTGTACACAATATACAAATGAACGATGCAGTTAATGCTGATTTATGAATTAATACAAGTACAAAATCTTAGCACACCATATACTGTCAATACTTTCCATACATATATGCTTGAATATTATAACAACTGCTTGATGATAAATACTCAAATTAGCGTGCACTAGAATAACTGTGTTCCTCTTAAACATCAGTCATCCTTTATAAAAGGAGTAAATCAAAAACATAGGAGATTTAAAGGATAAATGTTGACTTGAAAATCCTCAGATGTCTTCAATGCGTGCTGAGTGTGATTGTGTTCTTCCAATATTTCTATAGTAGCGTTTCTTTCTTCAGCTTTTAAATGTGGAATTTACAGTGAGCCTTGGTTTCAGAAGTGTCCTAAACTAACAATTACACAAGCTGCAAAAAGAAAAAAAGAGACAATTGAAGGAATTGAAGGATCATTTAAAAAGTATAAGATATATCTAATTTAGAATTTACCATATAACAAGATATATATGTATGTGTGTGAGATTTTTATCAAAGTAAAAATTAAAATATATAAAATATAATGTTATTTTCTTTAGCAATATATCTCATGATTTTGTTGAACTAAATTAGGCATGTATACAACAAAAATATTCAACAATACTATAAGATATTAAAAAATATGATATATAATATGTGAAAGAATATAATTGATATGAGTATTTTACAGTTTCTAATATTTAACATGACTATATCATATGTAAAAAATAAAAAAAATTAAAAGGTTATAAAAATCCTGTCATAACAGTCGCAATAACGATCTTGTTCAAAAGCATTAATTTAAAGTAATACAGGATTCATCATGGCATGTGAATTTTAAATCCAGATTACTGCAATATATATGTGCATAAGTTACGTTATTTTCGCAGAAGATAAGTGTAATGAATATTTTTCGGAAGAAAAGAGTGTCTGAAGCTAAATAATTACACGCTTATTTATAGTGTTCTACAATGTGAGAGAAACGCGCTCCTTCCCAACTGACAACTTGACATTAACTCGGTATATTGTGAAACGTACACCGCGAGTTAACGTCGTTATGTGTTGCCCACATGATCGCTGAAAATTGTGTGCAACGCGACGTTCCACATTGCCGCAGCATTTTCTGGATATGATCGTGAATCATGATCACGAGCCTCGGAGTCGCGCTGCAATCTCGAACCATCACTGATTATTACCGGATCTGATTACGCCGAGTATTCGGAGATTTCGAAAAGGGGGGTAGCGGCGATCGCGCTGATACGCGCAACGGACTCAATAATGGTGGGTCGCGCACGGACGACGATCGAGCGTGCTCGGATCCGGTCATTTCTAGGATCTCTCTCCCGTTTCGGCTGGAGGAGCAACGGTCAAGTTGTATTATCATGTGCGCTCGCCGCGGTTACGAGGTTCTGATTTTTTTATGAGGTCGTGGAGCGCCTCTTATCTCATCCCGCGGTGCTGCGAGTTATTTATCGCGTCCGCGCTTCCGAATCCGTCAAACGTTTGCACGCTCGTCGGTACGGGATCGCGCCGATTCGGGTAATGCGCTTCCTTACACAAGGCTCGCAATTATACAGCGATTAAAAGATTTTTCAAGACTCACCACGACACAGCACAGCACTGACGACATGCCGCCATGTTGAATGTCAACATTCAGCGTTGCACACACACAACACACACACACACACACACACACACACCCCATATACACCACACGCGCGCGCCCACATAACACACCACACACACCACAGGGGAACTACTAAATGCAAGCAGCGCACTGGCACTTTAAAATCCGGTTCGCAACATAATTGAGTCGTTCGATTTATAACGACGTCAGGTACAGAGTGAATCGGATCACCTGTCAATTATCCGCATACCAAGCAACACAAATGCTTATGGATCGTTATTCATAGCTGGATCTTAAGGTTTGTTCTTTTTAATTGAATTACAGGTTATACTTTTTTGCTGTTGGAGTGAAATAAATATATATAAAATTGTGCAAGAAAAGAAAAGAAAGGAAATTTTGGTACAGCACTAATTCAACTAAAAAGGAACAGATTTCTTCGAAGAATTTCTTCAACTGCCGTACATTGATGCTGTGTGTTGTCATACGTGCTAGCATGCTGGTTTTCGAAGATAGGGCCGGTGTTATTTTCCTTATTATGATTTCATGCTAGCTGAATTAGCGTACAAGCAAGGTCATCCTTATACGCATCAATTAGCATTTTTACCGATCGTTTCGTTCACCCTCTTACCGTCACATAAAATATGTTCTTTTTTTTCTATTATAGAATTCATAAAACACGCATCGTGTATCGTGGGTTTAACTTATTGCACACCAATATGCATCAAGTTCAAGAAGTTCCTAAAAAAAGAACAAATTTGTTGTACATCGAAATAAATGCAATGTAAATTCTCCATAACGATTTATAGAATTTTTCAGCATAGTTTAGGGATAGAGATCTGTTTTTTTTTTCTTTTCCGAACTTATGAACTAATGCAAACGTAATGCACAGTGTAATAAGTTAGAATTAGAGAAAATACATCTGCTTCGTTCCAATTTATTGCACTAGTTCTAAAGTCCTTAGAAAAAAAAGTAGATTTTAAAATTTACCGCGATGTGTTCGTGAAATGCACTGTAATGGACGTACGTAATGCAAACTATATTCTTCGACGATGTCGCGTTCATGTACATGTGCAATAGTAACTTAACTACAGTTATGTCTGTATTTTCATGATTCTGTGGGCGCAACACAATTGTTACTTGTTTATGGTTATAATAAAAAAAATATTTTTACGGATGACGTTTGTGCAGCGAAATTGGCTGAAATAATTGGAGATACGCTACAGTTATTATCGCGCACCTGATGCGCACGTATCTTGCGTAAGCTGTTTCGTTCAGCGGATTGTGAAATGGAGAGTATATTTCACGAGAAGGTAAGTGTATGCACAGCCACGTTAAGTCGACGTCCCTTTTAAAGAAGGATCGCGCCAAACATCTCGTCAATACTTTGCAGCAAGAAGGATACCTATGTGCACAACATTGTCTGAATGCGCTTCTGCAAGGCCCGTATTTTAATGCCGTAGATTTGGCAAATTTTGGACACCAGATGGACGAAGAAGAGAGGATAAGGATGGCTGAATCGGGCGTCGACAGCGAGGATTACAAACTCTTCCTGGAGGTAAACATCATCTTGCATTTGAAGCTTTCAATTTTCACAGGTACCACACGCACACACACACACACACACACATACGCGCGCGCGCGCCGCGCGCACACACGCACACACATATTGCAATAAATTATCAAAATACCATTTGCACAATGTAATATATGTTACGCTAAAAACATTGCTTCTTCTCTGATATTTTCTTGATATAGATGTTCCAGAATATTTAGTCTTGTCATTACCTTAGCCAAGAGCGAAGCTAATATGAATAATTATGAAGGAAACAAGTCAGGATCGAATTTAATAAAGCTTAATAATATTTATTTTAATGCTTGTACAAATATTGAATGTTGAAATTATATGTATATAGTTAAGTTTCGCAAGATTAAAAAATTATGTAGCATATTGTGTGATCACAATTGTACAAGGTGATTTTTATATATACAAAGGTTATATGTAGATTTATATTAATATATTAACATGTGAACATATACATGTATTATGTATTATGTATAAATTATAGCATATATGGCATACAAGGTAATTTATATTTACTTATAGATATTTTTGTATAAAGGAACTGTTCCTTCATAATTATTCGAGTAAGTTTATAACTACAGCAAAATGCTTCTTATGTTTAGCAACCATCGGGAAACATGGATGACAGTGGATACTTTTCAGTTCAAGTTATTAGCAGTGCTTTGAAAGTTTGGGGTTTAGAACTGATTCCATATAACAGCACGGAACCAACAGCTTTACTGGCACAGCATGATCCTTCGTAGGTTATTTGTTAATTCGTTTTAATCGAAGACTGTATTTGAGTTTTTTTTTTTAATATTTTGTTCTATTGCACTTGCAACAAAGCATTCTCTTTAAAGACCTCATATTTTGTAGAATAATTATAGTAATAACATAAGCAATTATGTAGATTGATATCATTAATAATGTTTATACGTTTAAAGATACTAGATAAATAGTTTTGCTTATCATGCTTTAACAAGATGATGTATAAATTGATTTAATTTTCAGGCGGATGAAAGCATATATCTGTAATTATAGAGGACATTGGTTTACAATACGAAAAATCGGAAATCAATGGTTTAATCTAAATTCAATGCTCAATGGTCCACAACTTATATCAAATACTTATCTTGCAATGTATCTAGCTCAATTGATTCAAGAAGGTAAGTATGAAATGACAGGTGAAATTAATAAAGATAAAAATATTGCATTAAATGCCCTTTTCTTACAGGTTATTCTATCTTTATTGTTAATGGTACCTTTCCACAATGTCCTGCTGAGGATGTACTTCTGAAAAATCCCATAGTAGCGACGACGCAAAGAAGTGATGAAAAATCAGAATCAAAAACCACACCTAAAGGTTATCGCTTAGGTACCAAGGCTGAAGATGACATTATGAAAGCTGCGCTCGCAATGAGCGAAATTGAGATTCCACAGTCATCTTGCACAACTAGAAGCTCCTTGTTTTCGCAGCAACCTGAAATGCCCACAGAATTTCACGAAAGGATAGTTCCCATAAGAGTCGAGAGCCTGGCGGAAGAGGAGGAGGAGGAAGCGACGGATGACGAAGATGACGATAATTCGCAGTTAGCAAAGGCTGTGGAGTTGAGTTTGCAAGATCCCATGAATGATACGGACAAAACTCTAAAATTAAGGTTGGATCTTACTGATGGTAAGATGTTGACGCATTTAACGAACTCTGTGGATGATGTGGACGAAGAAGATGAACTTAGAAAGGCGCTACAATTGAGCCTGGAGTGCGTGACCGCCCCACCGACACCTGATCCGGAGGATCTACGATGGCGTCGGTTGAATCACTTTAGCATGTATACAAACAGGGCATCGAACGGCGAGCCCCCCGCGAATTTAAACACCTAACAATAAGCACAAATTGCTTACACAAATGGCAGACCTCCATATACTGTACTAGACCACTAACAGCAATACTTGAGAAACTTAGCAGGATCATTTCACATATACTTGATTCCATACTTTATTACAGTAAACTACAACAATTACGTGATATAAATACAAGATTCTTATACATGCTACTCTATTTTAATGAAATAATAGTGGAATATCCGATTAAGACTTACGAGTATGTATTAGGACTTACTTCCAATTTCTATCTATCTGATCTATATAAGTTCAATGCCAGAATACCACTGTATTTTGGGAGGCCAAGAAAGAAGACTACAATATATAGGATGTTGCATTTGAAAGTGCTTCAAACACCGATAAAATAAAAAAAAAGTTATTTATATAAGAACAATGACCTTTATTTTGTAGTATCGGTGACAAAAATAATCAAAATGCAAGCTCATCTGTGACTGCATTAAATAATTGTTTTGCTTCTCTGAGATACAGCTGCAATCATCTCTCGTCATAATATCTGTACCTTACATCACATCTCATGAGCTTTATAAATGTTAATGGTCTAGTACATGGAAGTCTGTAGCACAAATTCTGCTATTACTAAAACTGAACCTGATCGCTGCATTGTAAATTATATGGTTGAGTAGTTAAGTCTGGCAGTAATGTCACTTTGTATACTAATGTTATAATGATAAGAGACATCTTCGAGAATGAGATAGACTAAAGATATATTTCTGATTCCTTGAGACTGAGGGGAGCTATTATTCATGTCTCCTTCTCTATTCGTGTCTCCTTCTCTTTCCTAACTTTGTTGTACTAATCGTTCGCAGACTAAAAAGTGACAGAGGTATTAAAAGTTGTTTGCCATTATACTTTATTTAAACACGATCAAGTGTGTGATGCGTTGGTCTAATTAATTTTTATATATCTTGTTTATCTTAACGGTGCAATTATAAATATAATCATATACAAAGCAACGGTTCCATACTATGAGATGGAATGAAGAAGACGAACGAAACTGCCACAAGTGAAATATTTAATTTATGTAGATGTGTCATTGGTCCGGGCACATAGAGATAGTTGCGCATCTGACCTGCGCAGTCGGAGAAAAAGTGTATTCTCTCTTATGTGCTATTCTATCCAAGCAGGTATCTGATATGAAGTTAGCTTCTACCGGATCGAACGCATCGAATCTTAGGTATCTGTGCGTCATGATTGTTGACTAAAAAGAAATCCAGAATATTTATTAATTAACTTAATGTGACATATTAAATTTATTGATTATATAACTAATATTTTTTTCCTTTTCTTAACCTTATGTTTAATCTCGCATGATTGAACCGAGCTACCAAATAGTCGGCCAAAAGTATTTTGGACCGTGACACGATACCGTGCGTGTGGATGTGTGTGTGGTGTGTGTGTGTGTCAGTCAGTCAGTCTCAGGTTCAATTCGAAATTATCGAAAAAGCGCAATATCTATGACGGCGCGTATCATTTAGGTAATGCCATCGTTCCTTTATTATTAAACAGAAGGAACGGGAGATCCAACGAGGTGAGACAACAATCTGATACGTCACTGACGTATTATCCCTATTATCCGTATTATCAAACAAACAACAGTAACAAAGATTTATCCAAGATCCTCGATATTAGAGATACCAGTCTACTATACTACTACGGCGCGAGAAGAAGCGGATACGTGATATCCGAGGATGATCGGTAAAAGGTGACGGGAAATTGTAGCACATCGCAGAAGCCAAGTGAGAAATCATATAGCGCGGCAAAGGGGAGGTATTTGCGTACACGACGTAACAATATAACGCTGGGCAAACGAACGAGTGAGCGAGCTGTCACGCGACAGTGGTGGCGAGGCAGCGGTAGCGGTAACGCTAGCGCTAGTGTTAGTGATAGCGACAGCGACGACGACAACGATGACGATGACAATGACGACGATGATGACGATGGTGGTGACAATGTTGGTAACGGTGGAGTACAGTGCGCAAGAGTCTCAATTTTATACGGCGTCGACAACCTGCCAGTGAAGACGACACCTGCTCGACAAGTTACGGAGAGAGACATACGTGCGTGCGTGCGTGCGTGCGTACGTGCGTGCAAGCGAGCGAGCGAGCGAGCGAGCGAGCGATTACATATACATGGGATGTATGGGCGTATGGACGAATGTATGGTGACGGCCATACTCAAACAATCGCCGAGCATAACGTGCGGTGCGAGAGATGCAGTGATGATAATAAAATAGAGAAAGAGAGGGGAAAAGAGAGACCCTGAGAGGGAGAAAGAGTGCAAGAGAGAGATAGAGAGAGAGAGTATTGTGTGTGTGTGTAGTGTGAATGTGTCGTGCTGTGTCGTGCGCGCGCGCGCGTGCGTGCGTTCATGTATCGTGCGAGAGAGAGAAAAGCCATCTCCGCTCACAGCAGCCGCGCGTGTGAGGCTACGGGACGAACCGGGACGAACTAAGCTGCGTCGGGTCGAGTCGAGTCGAATCGAATCGCATCGCAATCGAGTACGAGTGTAATCGCGTTATATTGAGGAACACGAGAGGAGCGGCCGGAACGGGCGGAAGTATAGGTCGCGCGTGTGTGGTCGCGGCTCGAAGCGGGGCTCGGTTATTTGCAATGAGCGCCAAGATAGATGTGAACAGGCGAGTGCTGGCGATCAAGGCGAAGAAGAAGCGACACAAGCCCAGCAAGCGCAAAGGCAAGACCAATTCTCAGGGCGAACAGGACGCGCAGCCCTCCAAGGGGCCGCGCGGCCAGGTGGCAGCCACTGCCGCTGGATATTCGGAAGGCGCCACGGCGCAACGCTCTTATTCCAATGACCACGGGAACAGGTAAATCGCGATTTGGGAGCCAATCGGCCGAAGGTGTGCATCCAGACCTGCATGTTACGTCGCACACATCGTGTAGCTCTGTAGCGTTATGTACGATTACACGATGATTGTATGATACTACAATTTCACGTTACGCGCTTGTCGTCGTCCGTTGTCACACTTCCTATCAATGCGAGAATCACATGGTATACGGGGTTACAAGTTTACGTGATAACGTCAAGCAGGTCTGGCTGAAGCTTTTGGCCGATCGGCTGTCAGATTGTCGATCTCGCGAATTGACTTACTAATCTAGTCTTACTAAACTAGTCGCGTTGTGCTTGGGACAGTTTGCACCTTGATTCTATTTTCTTGCCATTGTTTGTAGGCTTTGATCAAGATCAGATTATATATGTAGTAGCTGAAAATGATATATGAGACGTAGGATATACCGTATTTCTTTTGATCTGTTGATTCGGTGATACGTCTTAAACTGATGTTTCCTTTGCAAAAGTATCAAAGTACCTATTTGTTTTAAGTTATAATTTTTAAATTCAATGTGAAAGAAAGATCTGCGTGAGAACTAAATTCTCAAACCACTCAACTAATGGCAGTTAATTTTTAGAACAACATCTAGCTAATTTTTTTTTTATAAGACTAAAGTTTGGCTATTGAGATGTATTCAATATTGAATATTTTATAAATTGTGATAAATATATATTGTAGATTCATGAATATATTTGTTGTAGATTGGAACAATGTCACAGTTCCAGCAATGAGACGATAGAGGATGACGACGAGGTGTTTAGTAGTGAGGATGAGGAACAGGAGGATAGCAGTGACTACTGTAAAGGCGGGTATCATCCCGTGAAAATAGGAGATCTTTTTTTAAATCGGTATCATGTCACTCGTAAGCTCGGCTGGGGTCACTTCTCCACTGTATGGCTCTGCTGGGATTTACAGGTATGACATCCTCATAATATGTCAACTATCTTCTCTTGTATTTATAAATATGGGCTGTCTTGAAAATATTCTGCAGGATAAACGCTTTGTGGCGCTTAAAGTTGTGAAATCCGCAGCCCATTTCACTGAGACTGCATTGGATGAAATTAAGTTATTAAAAGATGTGCGTGATACGGATCCTACCGATCCTAAGCGCAGTAAGACCGTCCAGTTGCTCAATGACTTCAAGATCAGCGGCATTAATGGTCTGCATGTTTGCATGGTATTTGAAGTGCTCGGACATAATCTTCTTAAATTGATTATCAAGTCGAACTACAGAGGAATTCCAAGAAATAACGTTAAGCGCATCATCAAACAGGTCCTTGAGGGCCTCGACTATCTTCATAATAAATGTAAGACGATTGTTTAAATCATTGATATTTGTAAAACTCATATATTTAGATGTTTAGTACCGATGCAGCAACATAGTAGAATGCAATAGAAAATATAACTGCATATATTATATGCATAATATAATCTATATACATGTATAATTTATATGTAATAATATGAACATTTATATATACATACATACAGAATGTTAAATTGAGAAAATATGCCGTAGACATGACAATTGCGATCCGCAAAAATCTACGATTATTTAATACATCGAATTTTCTTGCAGGTAAAATTATTCATACAGACATTAAACCCGAAAATGTTCTTGTGTGCGTCGACGAAATTTACATTCGAAAATTAGCTTGCGAAGCAACGGAACTACATTCTATGGGAGCAAAGTTGCCAGTGTCCTTGATATCTACCGCACCAAAGGAATTTCAGGAACCTACTCCAAATTCTAAAATGTCTAAAAACAAAAAGAAGAAGTTGAAAAAGAAGGCAAAACGTCAGAACGAACTCTTAAGGAAGCAAATGGAGCAGATCGAGGAGTTGGAGGAACAAAATAAGCTCGCAAATAGCACGCGAGAGAACGGCGAGGTCGAGACGAATAGTCTAGATCAAGACTTCAATACAGAGAGCTTAGAGGAGAATACGGAGAGTAAAGGCTCGCCCGACACCTCGGAGCCGTCCGCGACCTCTGTGCACATGAACGGAGTGGATGGTTTAGCAGGCGGCGAGAAAATACGAACTTTGTCATCCGAACAATCCGAGAAGATGGAGAATGTGACTCTCTGCAGCGTGGAGAAAAGCTGCGGCGAAGGTGTGCTACCACCCGATACCGAGGATACCGACGAGTGTAGTGAAGGTAGAATGATGATCTCCGTGAGAAGTAGAAGGCGACGAAGGCTATGTCCGTTTCTCGTTCCGTTATTCATTGTTTTGCTTGCAGGTCGCAATTTAAATCCACCGGAGAGTAAACAACTGAAACGGGCATCTGTCGCGCCCCTGAATCCGGCTATAGTGGAGTGCGAGGTCGACGTGAAGATAGCGGATCTCGGCAACGCGTGCTGGGTTCATAAAAAGTTTACAGACGATATTCAAACTCGTCAGTACAGGTCGTTGGAAGTCCTATTGGGATCCGGATACGACACTTCCGCGGATATATGGTCCACCGCTTGCATGGCGTTCGAATTGGCGACTGGAGATTACCTGTTTGAACCGCACAGTGGCAAGGATTACTGCAGGTGACTATTACATTTACTTCACTCTGATTACCATTAGCGTAGACTAGCGCAAGTAGAAAAACGGAACAAATGTAAGAATAAAAGTTTTGTTTGATAAATTATAACTTTAGCATAAATCCAATAAATATGTTGAAGTTTCAGTTATTCGACGCTTACGAATCCTTTCAATAATCTAAAAATAATTAGCATCGTTTCTTCATATTGCTTTACTTCTAGTATGACAAGTTGATTTATTTAAGTTTCTTTGGATCAATCGAAACCAGCTTTTGCTACTTATCCCGGTCGTTTTCCCTGAATAGCGATGCTATTTCAAGTATCGAGAATTTATTCCCGTTAAAATTTCAGAGATGAAGATCATTTGGCTCACATTATCGAGTTATTGGGAGAAATACCGAGACGCATCGCGCTCGCGGGTAAGAATTCAAAGATATATTTCAACAAAAAGGGCGAATTGAAGCATATCACCGTGTTGAAGCCATGGGGTCTGTATGAAGTGCTGACAGAAAAGTACGAATGGACGCCGAGCGAAGCGCGCGAGTTCGCAGAGTTCCTAACACCGATGCTCGAGTTCAATCCGCTCATGCGAGCTACCGCAGCCGAGTGCCTGAAGCATCCGTGGCTGCAAATCAAAAAGTGATCGCGTTTTTTTTTTATCGTTTCTGTAATCCGTAATCCCTCTCGACTCTCATCCCGGTCATAACGCCCAGATTGCAATCATAAATCGAGAGTGTGATAGAAAGCCGAAAAGCTGCAGGTGTCAGCGGGTCATTACACCCGCGTCGAATTGTAATTTCCGCCACCCAATTTACGTACGAGAGTAGCAGTGGTTCGAATTTCGAGAGCGCGCACACACATATAGACACACATGCGCGTACACACACATCAACAGACCACGAGACCAGAAATGTACGGGAATGAATTTTAACATACGTTATCATACTAATCATTGCGAGGACGTCTTTGTGCGCGGAAGGAATGTTGCGTAAACCAAAAAAAACCAGAAAGATTGTTATACTCTTTACAAATGGTGATTTGACAATATCACGGAAGTCGTCCCGGGGAAATATTCTCGAGCGCGACGAGCGAAGTGTCGCAAAATCCGAAAATTGTACGACAAGATGATCTTGCTACATTCCGCTGATTTCCATAACGGCCGTGTGTGCGCGCTTCCTAATGCAACACTCTCAAGACATCAGCTGACCTTCGTGTGTAGTGTGATGTACACTTGTTAAATCATATTTTTTATTAGAGATGAGAGACTTAAATTAAAGAATTTCATAGTACTTTTGTTATTTTACACATCCGTGTGTTGCATCCCTCGTAATCGTTGTTTAATTTAGCTACGAATATCCCAAGAGTCGTGAGACCTACTCGTAATGCGCTGTGACGATACTGGCGGGCTCGGTAATGTGGTTTGGTTTAAAATTAAACTGTTCGTCTGAACTCTGTTATCCGTGTGTACACTCTCATGTATTGCTCATGTCGGTCGCTGTAAATTCTTGCCAACAAACTTGTCGAGTAATTGCAAGAGAGAGAGAGAGAGAGAGAGAGAGAGAGAGAGAGAGAGAGAGAGAGAGAGAGAGAAAAGCTACTTAATTAATATTTTACGTCTACCTCAGTCTATGCGAGCCGTTCAGAAATATTCTCGAACGCGTATACGTGATGTGAGATTCGCCGTATTCGCGTGTCAATCGAAATAGATGAACTTGTATATCGTAGATAAATTGAGAGAGAGTCGGTCGCTAGATTCTTGGTATATACAATCACACAACGTGAACGGTAATTGGGATAAGACAGTACGCGTGTACAGTGTGCATTGACGACACATTCACATGCCATTTAGCTAATACGAAATTGTAAAGTAATTTTTCCAATTTGCATATTAGGTAGACAATTAAATTTTATTTGCAGCGAACGGCGATAAGGCTGCGCACTTTACAATTGCGTATATACAGTATAAGAGAAATCCATGTGCGCGCGCACACACACATACATTATATATATATTTGGCGATAATGCCAAGATCATTATATGCGATTATCATGCAATTTATTGTATCTCGTTCCGTCATGTCCCGCGATATCGGTACGGTAATGAACATCCTTTTTCCTTTTGTTATAAACTCGTTTATATTACTGACGTAAACACACGCTGTATATATATAATGTACAATTGCGTGGAAGGAGAAGAATATCTAAGCCGCGAATCTAAGATTTCGGTGAACACACGAACGAAAAGAAAAACGAAGGAAAACAGAATCGTAGTACGTGAGTAACGTTGTGTTTCGTGCGAATCCGTTTACTTCACACACCGACTGACTACTGAGCTCTCTGCCGATAAATAATTGTCTTCTATTTCGTAAAACGGAAGAAAGCGAAGCACTACGTTCCACCGGACTTTCGGCTACGTCGTGCATACCGACGATAAGCTCGACTTATGCTTCCTACAGAATGTTCTGTTTCGCTTCGCCTGCCAATTTTAAGGTCGTTCCGCAAGAAAAGAGAAAAACGACAGAAAAGTGACAAAAATGTTTTTCGAACAATCGAACTGTAGAGATGCGTGTGTACGTGGGGAACCATCACGATGTACGAATGTTTTATCATTCTTGCTGCGATATCGTCTTTCCGAATATAGGAAGAAAAATACTCTCGTGAAATATACAGCGTTATGGTCTATTTTAACATCTTGCATTTTTTTTTTTTAATTTATTTTATTTTCGATCATTTATTAAACCAGCGATGTCTTTGTTTACTTACGCAGATATTCGAACACATACACACACACACACACACACGATATGTTCACGGTACAACTTTTAATTTATTAAATTGGACGCATCTCACGGAATCTGTTTGTGTTAATTTCCATTTGTATTCGCGGACGCTGTTCACAACATCCAAGCAGAATTAGTTTGCGAATGAAAAACTATTCTCTCTCGGGACGATCCTCATCCGCGAGTCTGCCGCGCGTGAGACCCGGCGGACTTTTGACGCGGTAGAAGTCGATTTTTGATGATTGGCGAACTAAAAAAGGGGATATCGGCTATCCTGAACTTTGCTAAACGATGAGAAAAAAAAAGCAATACGACGATACGTGAGAAATTTGATAAAAAAGTGCCTCTTCTATCTGCGCTATGATTAATATATCGGGCACAGAGACGATGCGTCTGTATGCGACTTTATTCCGGCAATGTGGACCCGGCGCATTTTTATTTGTAACAATTATCTACCCCTGCGTTTCTCCCTTGCAATTACGCGTGACTGTTTTGTAAATTTTTTGATGTCTCCGACGACGGCAATCGTGACGAATCTGTACAGTATGTAGCTAAAAAAGTTTTAGCGGATAATATGCAATATTGCTTCACGAAATGAACTACGGCCAATGAAATCCGTTGCTTCGGGAGAAGGGCAGCGAGATCGATTCGATAGCCTGTTAATGTTTCTCGTTACTTGTAATAGAAAAGACGCCGCTGATCAAACCAATCGAACCTTTGCTCGGTCACTTTCGCTTGATCCTTCAGCTCATAATGTCGCTTGTAAGATTAATTAGAAACTCGTGTAGAGAGTGTCTCTCGAGGAACTATAGAGATCTAAATCCCGTGGATCTGCTCGTGTCGTTAAGGATCGGACGATCGAGAGTGAGAATCGAAATAATTATCTCGGCGGACTCAATTATCGACGCTGTAGACGCCGTGAGAAAGAAGCCTGTAGTCATAAGTAAAACTAAAGTACAACTAAATTGATACCCAATGATGAAATTAAAGTCTTGACGAAAGGAAAAGATATTACCGCTCGCGATTTGTCTCGACGTCGTTTCTCAAGGCAATTGCCTCGAAAGCCGAAAAGGACGTACGTTGCGTGTCGTAGATAACGATAGAGGATATCTTAGAGCGTATTTGCAATGTCGAAATGCATCTCCATGAACTCAACAAGATCACCGTTAATTAGGGGTTTACCAAGAGGCGCCGGCCGAAGCGCGTTGACGAGGAAGATGAGTAGAGGTTGACGATCGTTAACGCGGATCAGATTTGCGCGCTGGAATTCATGATTCTGTTGGACAAGCGAGCTTAGCTTAGGCATCGAGATCGCACCGATTGTTGTTAGATCAAAGCTCAAATATGTCGCGTCGGCATCTGCGGATTTCAGCGACCGTACGACTCCGTCGTCCCTAAAGATCGTTCATACTGTGACCATATAGATAACGATATATTTCGTATTAATATATGTACTATACATATATATATATATATATATACATATTAATATATCTCTAGCGCTCTGTACACATATAAACACACACACACACACACACATACTCACACATACAGAAAGAGAGCGAGAGAGAGAGAGAGAGAGAGAGAGATAAATTACCGTGTAGGTGTGACCCGCTGCTTGGCGTTAAGATAGTTAGGAGAAAATTAACGAACAATAACAGTAAACTATGTATAGCTGTTGATGTACGAAATATGTCTCTTCTCCCTCCGACTCTCGAGAAGATAATTTCATGTTTTGTGTAAAGTAGATAGAGAGAGAGAGAGAGAGAGAGAGGGGGGGGGAGGGGGGATGGGAGACAAGCAGTCTCGAAGCGCTCCGTTTTCTTTTCTGCGATAGAGATTCCTCGTGCATAATAATGTGTAACATACGCGGAGAATGATCAGGGGTGAAGGGGATCGATTGAAAGGGGAGACGGTATATAATACAGGGACCCAATTACAAAGCATCGCCGGGGACTCGCGTTCCCGCGTCGATAGATTCTAAACATTGCGTCGAACGAAAAATCGAGGGGTCCGTTCAATTCGATCGGTGTACCGATTGCGACGAGGATCTCGAGGTCCGTCAATCCGATGCGATGCGATGCGATGCGTTGACACTTGTGAATTATATATACTTTAAGATCACAGAGTGGTCGGAGACAAGCGTACGTGTTGCGGTCTGAGTGTTGACGGTGCTTTTGCGGTCGAGCCGCGACTTTGGTCGCGCCGCTTGATTTCAAGGCGATCGATAGTAGGCGTGTGCCGATATATTATACGCTAAAGGTAGCGAAATTCTATTGTGTGGACTCTCTCGTCGTCGATCGTGCTTAATTATCATCGTCGCGGGGATCCGCCTCTGGTCAGACTGCGAAGGACGAGTATCGGTACCATCGGACGCGCGTCGAATCGCGCGAGTCGAATACGAACGCCGATGACCGATGAAGGTGTGGTGGCCTTGAAAACGAGGAGCGAGCGAAAATCGTGCGAACGAAGAAGGACGTCCGAAGGATCTCGCGTGCGATCTCCTCTTTTTTAGTCTTAAGAAATCGAAATTGCCGAGTCGCGCGAGCGCGACTGCGAGAGGAAGAAGGACGAGCGAGGGAGAATTCTCGGACGCTCGGTGAGAACTCACTACCCGAAAGAGAAGAGAAATAAACACCAACTATTATTACACGTAAGTCGCGACGTGCGCGCGCGCGCGCGCGCACTGTAAATATTGTGAGTGATAAACCCGTGTGGGGTTTTGCACATTTTTAGAAGAGCCTGTTCGTGCGCGTAGGATCCACGATCGATGACCGATGCGGAGTTCGGGCTCGAATTAAAGAACGATCCCCGAGGATCGGATCATCGTTACGTACGTTATAAAAAGAAGAGAAAAGGGTAACAACTGCATAAGGCGCGCTCGAGACGAAAGGGGTTGCGGAAAAGCGACGAGACACCAGGTTATGCGCAAAGAAAGTCGCGAAGTCGCGTGGCATACAATAACACATTATTATCATCGTCTCACTGATTGGCACGTAGTCATACTGTTTGTAGCATTAGGAAGAGAAGAAAAAGAGGGAAGGAGAGAGAGAGAGAGAGAGAGAGAGAGAGAGAGAGAGAGAGAGAGAGAGAGAGAGAGAGAGAGAGAGAGAGAGAGAGAGAGAGAGCCGTCGGAAAAACTGCACGCTTATCCGCTCGCTCGTTCGCCGGCGAGCAAATCCGAGGACCCGCCGGCCACGAGGAAGAACTTTAATAAGGGTGTAACTATGTCGGAGGTAGAAGGCGCACGTAGGCGCCCACACGATACGATACGTGATGATAATTTTTAGAAGTTTATCGAGCCAAAACGGGACATGCGAGTGGGCGAGTGTACATAGCCCGGATGACGTGTGCGAGAAAAACGACTGGAGCATCGGGACAGGGAAAGAAGAAGAAGAAGGCGGTGGAGAAGGGGGGGAAGGGAAGGTGGGAAGCGAAGCCGTAAGCGTTTCGCTGCACTCTTAGACAATATCCCAGATTAGCGCGATAAAAATATGCCCTTTGTCACTACCGTTGGCTGGCTGGCTGGCTGGCTGGCGGGCGATCGAATCACGAGAGGACCGGAGAGATGTATCAAGTCCGCTCGATCGACTGCTTAGCCGCGCTTGATTGCGCCGCGCACGAGTCCTGTATGTTCGTATGCGAAGACACCGGGAGGAGATGAGAGGCAATGTACGCGGCACATGTCATGAAATTTTTCCCATAAATAGCAAACGGATCGCAATCGATGATTCTCTGTGGTGTTCAGAGGAGTCTGTGCGCCGGCAGACGTGAAGTTTGGAGAAATTAATTTATCATATCGTCATACTTGGAGGAAGTTGCGGCAGTCAACGAAGAGGGAAAGATTGACACGACTGGACTGCTGTCGTAAAACTACTTGCGATTGCGGCCGGAAACGCTACTTGTACATGTGACTTGGAAGTTACGAGATTGAGCAGCAAACAGTTAATAAGTATATGACAGGGGAACTCATCCCGCGCGGAGAAGTGAAATTCTTAGTCGTAGACTGGTGGATTCAAGGATCTGTGGAGACTGTGTTATCTGATACCGAGGATTCGTTTTCCTTAAATCTCTCACCGTGGAATAATAGTAAAGATACAAAGAGAGCTTCAGTTTCTGGCGTAAACCGTAACGCACGTAAGGATGAGTTTTCTGCTGATCGGAATCGGTTACATTACACGATTATATTCGTTTTGTATAATAGAAGACAAATCGTCTGATCGCTCAGGAAAAACATAGAATATGTAAGTATGGAAAGAAATATACATGTTGCGGAGATTTCCAAGCATCGAGAGATTCTACATACTCGCCCGAGATTATGCGTGATGAATAATAATCTCCCGCGATTATACGTAATCACATCCACTCACTTCAAAGCTCCTTGACATGTATATGTAAATTGTTGCACGAAGAAGGGGTTCGATAGTTCTAGTATTTTCGCCAATTTTGTAGCGGACCCCCCGTCACTCACAGTATATGTTAATTCCTCATATTTGAGATCTTCCTCTGTCCCCGTTAACGCATAACGATAGTATTCGAAGACGCGTTAATTCATTCATTCATTCATTCGCCCGGGGTTGTATCGTACAACAAATCGAAGTAGCGCACACGAATCACCTGTACATGGAATGACGATGCCACCGGGAGAAGGACTCAAGAACACCGAACAATATAATCGTTGATGTATATTATCGTGCATTAACGTCTTGTGCTCCAGTCGCTCGATATACGACCATGCGAGGTGTTAACACACAGAGTGCTCTAGAACATAAAATAGAGTTAACGAACCGAATGAATAAATGGATTTGATGTTTAGACGCTGCCTCCGTTATGTGCCGTGCCGCAGAAAAAAAAAGAAGAAAAAACAAGAAATAAAACGTAAAATAACACACAACATACACACGCATACACACAGGACAACAATGTACCTACCCTCCCGAGATCGATACCGATATATAATATGAGAAATAAATTCGCAACAAAATAAACCGACTGATCGCTGTCTTCTCTCTCTTTTCGTTCGTTCGTCGCACACGCTTCTCATCCACTTCGCTTCGCGAGGTAGGAGAGTGGCCAGAATTGGAATCAATTACGATGGTTAATTGAGTTTCCTTTATTCTGTATATCACAAATTATATATCACCTTTATTGTCCCTGGATGATTATCGAGCTGCGGTCATACAAAGTGCAACGCACAGTATACTTTCTCTTTCACGTTTCTTTTAGATATATTTGAAATATTGATCGAAAAGTGAGATTATACATATGTGTGTATATGTGTACACGCGCGCGCGCGTGCACACACACATGCGTACGCACACACTGTGGTACAATCGTTTATATGTTACCTGCCGTTATCTGTTACATACACCGCTTGGTTTTAGTCATTACAATGACCATACAGTACTCGTGGATATTTTTTGTTGATATATATCTAACTATAAAAATTATGCGATGAGTTAAACGCTCGGTCCCAAGGAAACGAGATAACAGTCTTCGTACATCCTCCCAAGAATGATATGATACGAAAACATGTGCTTACGCAAATGTCCGACAACAAATGAGACGTTTCCTTTTTGCAACGATATCGTCGCAGGTAATTAACAGCTAAAATTAGACTGTTTTAATGTTTGTTTTAATGTTTATACCTTGCTGATTGTTCATTCATTTGTCCTATATTTTTTGTATTATTTCCAAGTCATTTATGTACAAATAGAATCTATTGATAATAAGACGGTATAAATCAAATATTTCATATTATTCTAACGGTATAATATAAAAAAAAGCAATCCTCTTCATATAATACGAGTGCGGCTAAACAATTCTTTGTACGAGAAGTGAATGAACGAGTTCAAAAATTAAGCGTTAAACATCGGAGAATCTATTATCTGCGTTAAAAAATTCAAATTCATTATAAATCACTCAGATCAATTTGCTACATACTATTGGTAACTCGTCAAGTTCGCCTGAACCTCTTATCTCTTATCACTTGTATAAATAATAATTATTACACTATACAATCGCGTTTTAAGTACTAAATTCAATACAACATTGTGCGATACCATCATTATGTTATCGTAACTTTGTAATTTCGTTGTTTGCACTTAATATCACTGTTTCAAATAACAAAAAATAATTTCTAATATATAGAATATCCATCGTGACAATTGCCACGACGATTGATTACTTAGTGAATATTTTAAATTATTTCCGATTAACTTGATAAAAAGTATACAATTATCGAAGAGGGCTAAAATATCATGGCAATCGCTACGATGGATGATAACACACTTTATATCTGTCACAAGATCAAGTGGAAATTTATCTATTTGTGTACATACGTGTCTAATACTACTGAAAATACCAGATCATATTACGTTCGTCCAATCAACAAATATACCGTATAATTAAAGAAGAATCATAAAGATTGGATTAATAACACATAATCCGTAATATTAATGGGGATAAGTTGGACTTTAGTCAGATGAATCCTCGTCAGTTCTGTAAATTAATAGCACTTCTATTAATACTTTATGATCTTGGTAAAATCGATTCACTGCCCACCACCATCGCCAAGCTGTTTTGAATAAAGTAAGCGTCTTGGATAATACATTGCTGTTTGCTATATAAGCAATACCTTAATAATGTAATGATGGTTATAAATAGAACTGTATAGATGTATATAAAGAGATTAGTGAGGCAAGAAGAAATAAATAGTACGGAAAAGAAGTTACAAGCTATTTAGATCTTAGGAGAATCTCACTGGAGTGTAGCTGTATGTAATTTACTGCATAAGATTGGCAGAGCTCACAACTCTTGTTATTCCGGTTTCCCCTTTCGTATGGTTACTCATAAACTATGGAAAAATATTGATGAAGCATGATCATGTAAACGATAACAGAGACACACATAATTAAAGTAGATTACTCAATTAATAAATAAAAAAAATTAAATAAGCGAATTTTAAAATCAGAAAAATATTGTACAAGACATTTTCCTGTAATATTACAGTGTAAAATTACAGAAAATTGTGTGAAAGCTCTCCATCAATCAATCGGAGTAACGTTCGCAGCTTTAAGAAAAATAAAATATATTCTTGTTTATATATATATATATATCCGTATTATAGATCTGATAATACTGATATTAAATAAATACTTATATACACCCATTTACAGAGGCAATACAGTTGAAAGCACGTTGTCCAGCACACATTTAAAGACACACTACACGCAAAATCAATTAAATACTTAATATAGACCCGTGACTAGGACGACTGGTTTTCTCCTTTCCGTTCGTTTGCTCCCTAGCTGTTCCGCAGACATTGAGACTTAACTGCGCGGTGGATGCAGTGGTTGCTTCGTCGTCGGAATCCATCGGACTGATCCTGATAGCTTGGTACCACTGATTCGTCAGATCTGTCATCTGTGACTTGCAATCCTTTAACTCCTGCTGCGTGAAGCGCCTCGTGAAGAACGGAATGAAGAATTTCAGATCCCATCTAGCAAAACCGCGAATCCGCGATTGCAAGAAGGACACTTCCATCTCTTCCTCTGTTAGTTCCGATAAATGTTCAGAATCTATAGTTTGTCCCTATAAAATAATTATTATGTCAACAATCATTGTCGAACAATTATTATACATGTAAAGATATAAATATGGTAGTTGCAAAGATAAGCACAAGTCGTATTAATTAATTGTGCTAATTGCATTAATTGTGTTACAAGGCAAAAGCTTTCAATTACCCATTCCCTAGTTTTACTTAGTGAAACTTCCTTATCCTTCTTTTTTCTTCTGCTGTTTTTCTGCTTTTTCTCGGCTCTTAAGAATTTTAACAGCGGCATGGTAGAGCCGCCAAATATTAAGGTTGTAAACAACACGATGATGAGGGTCGTTGTTATAATAACATGACGCGTTTCGTCACTGAAATTTAAATGGAGCGACAACGCGTATGATATGGCACCGCGCAAGCCGCTGAACCACATGATAAACATCATTTTTTTCGTGATTTGATGCTCACGGAAGCGATTAACGAGTAACGCCAGCGGGAAGATATTCGCGGCTCTTCCAAGCAAACACAGGATTAAGGACCAAACAACCAATGCTGGTTCAACCTGTTAAGAAAGAAAAGAACAATAAAAAGACTTATATATGTGGGTGTATAACCAAATATATGATATATTTACCCTGTGTCTAAAGCTAAATATTGCTAATCCCAAGTATGCAAAGACACAAGTTTCAGCTATGAAAGCCAACGTTCGCATTGTTTGTTGCATTGTGATCTGTGTAACAGTTGACAAGTTGAAGTGAGTGTAGTGTGACATAACTATTCCATTGAACAAAATCGCCATAATTCCTGTAACAATAATGCACGATATATGACTTTTTGACCAATACAGTCCTATGTAGATCTTACATCATACCAATTATCAAAAAATGTTTACCTGATAGTTGTATGCCTTCTGCCAAAACATATGGGGCATATGTGAATACCAACATGATCCCAAACTCCAAGGATGGATTTTTTCTAAGATCTACATGCTTCAGTAGAAGTGCACTTATTAAAGCAAAAACTACACCAATTCCTGCTGACGCAAAAAACATGAGGCAAAATCGATTCAAGCCAAGTATAATAGCCTCACTGGTCGTTGTGGCATTGTTGGATTCCAAGACAGAAGTTGTCAATACAATGGAGATTGCGTCATTTAGGATTGATTCTCCAAAGACCAACATGTTCAGAACAGGATCGACATCCAAAGCATGGAAAATTGCAACTGTAGCTACAGGATCTACTGCTGATATCAGCGACCCAAATGCAAAACTCTCCACAAAACTGAGTTTGTACGCCACTTGTGCTAGACCTAGTAGATAAATTCCAGCACCAATAACAAATGCAGAGATAGCTGTTCCAAATATAGCGAATACCATGATGCTGCCGATGTTCTGAAAGAAATTTCCCTTATGCAGATTATATCCCGACTCAAATATGATAGGTGGTAGAAGAACCAGGAAAAATGCGGTTGGTGAGAAAGCTTCTTCCTTTCGCCAGTTGGCTATGTTCTGATGCGACATGAGATTTATGATCATGCCGATCAGAGCACCTAAGACGACTATCACCACTGACTCAGGTAGATACTGGAAATTCATGTGCAGCATCAAATGTATTAGTAGTATGCCCAGTGCCAGCACGCACAATACGAAGAATATGGACATGGAGCTGTTGTGCTCCTCTTCCGCGGAGCCCTTGTCAGGTAAAACTGGCTCCGCCGGAGCAACAGTGGTAGTGCTCGTGTTCGTTGTGTTGGTGGCATCAGGAGTCTGCGGCGATACAGGAATGGAGTCTGACATGGTAGTTACATTTTTGTCGTTGACCGAACTCGGTGATGTGCTGATCTTCTCGGATGTTTGGTCAGCCACATTCTCATAATGTGTCGTACTTGCAGATGTGGCTGGTGGTTTCAGGGTGGTCGAGGAGCTGACGTTGTAATTACCAATGTTATTCGAAATATTATTTGCATTATTATTCGCGGCTCGCGCTGTGCTGGATAATTCTGGCAAAAGAGTACGGTTTAAAACGCTCGGCTTGTCCGTCACCGCAGATGTGACATTTTCGGTGACTTTGGTGCTTTTAAGGTTAATTGCTTCTTCGCAATACGATACATGTCGCGATACGTCGCACAGCACTAAGATCACGATAATAAAATTCCACCTGCACGACAGTATGAAATGTGTTTGAGACACCGTCATTGTTTTAACGGTGAAATATTATTTCACAGCTAGCAGAAGATAACTTCGCAGTCGTTCCTCGCAACAAGTCCAAGCCACGATATTCCTAAGAGGGCGCAAATGTACTAAAGCCCGTATCAGACTACGGATTGGGATTGAGTATTGGATTGAAATTTAACTAATCAGGGCTAAGTTGACTATATTTGAGATTATTTTCTCTTTTTTCAGTTGGTCAAATTTCAATTCAATCTCAATCCCAATCCATAGTCTGATACAGGCTTAACAGTCTTTACAATATCTAGTCGGTGCTTCTGCTTACAAACTTAGTTATTAATTTCACAATATTAGATAAAGAAATGGATAGGTTTTTTACTACCTGTTATCTCGATAATTGATCAGTTGATTAATTACGGAACATATCTGTTAGTTTAAGGCTCACCTTAAAGGCTTAATCTCATGACTAAGGCCTGGTCTACAATACGTGTCGTAAGTTGTAAGCCGTAAGAATTGGCGAATCACAGTCGATTATTACAAAAATAATCGGCTATAATTGGTCAGTTCTTACGGCTTACAGCTTACGACACGTATTGTAGACCAGGCCTTAAACCAAATGGTCTGTTCTTTTCAGCTGCACTACGGAACTAGTGCAATAAGTTAGAATGAGACAACTATATTTTTTCTCACTTTAACTTATTGCACCAGTTCAGTAGTGCAGCTAAAAAGAACAGACCAAAAGTTTCCAAAACCGATTTTGAAATAAGCCTTAGGCCTGGTCTACAATAGGTGTGTAAGCTATAAGCCGTAAGAACTGACCAATTATAGCTGATTATTTTTGTAATAATCGACTGTGATTCGTCAATTCTTACGGCTTACAACTTACGACACGTATTGTAGACCAGGCCGTATATGACTGTTTGCAGATACGGAGGCGCTGCGCAATCGAGAGTCACGGAAAACTGGTCTATGAGCCTTCTCTAGTTCTTCTCTTTGGTTTACTTGTGCAATAAGGGGTTTCCGTGCTCGACGCTTGTCGCCGTGCACGGAAGCCTCGTAAAAAAAGGGAAAACAGCAGGCAACAGCAGGCAACTTTTCTCGAAGAGGTCCCCGTCGTCGTCGTCGTCGTCGTCGTCGTCGTCCTCGACGTCGTGCTTGCGATGCTGCTGTGCTCCGTTTCGAAGGATAATGCGTTGACGTGGTCCGTGATAAGAAGACACGCATCATCTTCATGCACTTTATCGACGGTGCGGTGAACAGGATGGGCAAGCAAGACGGTCCGTGTTGGTGGTGCGTGAAGGCCGTCAAGTGGATACCAGTGATCTTCATCGTGACGATCGTTGCCTGGTCCTATTATGCTTATGTGGTGCAATTGTGCTGTTGTGAGTATACACAAAACAGGTGGACGTGTTGACGCGTCTTCATGGTTTTTTCGTGTCATGAATAAAAATCTACGGATCTGACTAATCTCGCGCCAACTATTTTATCGCTTCATATATACACAATGTCGTAACAGTTTCATTTGTGTTTGCTTGACTCTTGGATAATCTCAGGTTCTCAATGTGTTTCCATGTAGAATTGTGATTGAAACTGGGTCATTTTTTGTTTATACAATATAGTTCGTGATCTTTAGGATGCAGTTGCTCCTGACACTTTATATAATGCTTGTGGCATACAAAAAATAACAACAAAGATTATTGGATTAGAGAGATAGACTTATTTTTACACCTCTGTACCTCTGCCACAAATACATAAATATATATGTTGTATATTTATGATACAGTTCCACAATAAGACTTTTGATCAGATATTTTTTATTGTATTGTAATTTTGTGACTGTTTCAGATACAATAGACAATTATGTTCAAAAAGGTTTGTATCTCACATATTATATCAATTATGTATCAATATTTCCTATAGTGTCTAATAGTGTTTACTAATAATGTTTAGTTTAGCTGTTCTTTTCATGATTTTGTTGTATTATCTATATACTAATTAATATTAAGAATGCTATAGTACAAAAGATCAATTGACATCAAGTTTTTTTATTTTTATATTTGTTGACAGGTTTCTATCTACTTTTCTTCCATATTCTATTTCTGATGTTTTTATGGTCATATTGGCAAACAGTATTCACAGAATTGATGCCAGTACCAGATAAGGTAATTTGTGTAATTTTCATTAGTCTTTTAAATTATATATTCTAAACATAATATGCTGTATATATATTTTTTTTTACTGTATATATTTTTTGTACATATATGTGTGTATGTTTGTATACTTTTTTGTCAAAATTTATAGTTTAAAATACCTGATGTTGAAATGGAGAAATTACAACAAGCTGAAACTGAGGAAATACAGAGACAAATTTTGGAAAGATTTGCACAGGATCTTTCAGTTACCAATCGCACTATAAAAGGAGGTAATGTTTCATAATAAAAATATTGTATAAATTTAATGATACAAAGGAAATTTAGCATTAGAATCATAAGTATATACTGTGATAATATATTTTTTATGCTTTCAGCAATGCGATTTTGTGAAAAATGTCAACTGATAAAGCCTGATAGAACACATCATTGCAGTGTATGTGGAACTTGTATTTTAAAAATGGATCATCATTGTCCATGGGTGAACAACTGTGTAGGCTTTCACAATTACAAATTCTTCATGTTGTTTCTGGCATATGCACTTCTATACTGTATGTTTATTACTGCTACATCCTTGCAATACTTTATACATTTTTGGAAAGTGAGTATAATTTCTTTTCCTTTTATAATCAATTTGTATAATAATTCTATGATGTATCATCTTATGTTAAAGCACAGTGTGTATATGTGTGTGCACACACACATACATACACATGCATATCAATAATTCAATTTTAATCTCTCTGTGATCGGTTGACTTTTTCTTTGTAGGGTGAATTAGATGGAACGGGTAGATTCCATCTACTATTCCTTTTTTTTGTTGCATTGATGTTTGCAGTCAGTCTTAACTCTCTTTTCTTCTACCATTGCTATCTGGTTGTGCACAATAGGTCAACACTAGGTAATTTTTTCAATATTTTTGTTTTAATGGTATATAGTATAATTATTAATTGAAACATCTAATTAACTATAATATGTTTGCAGAGGCCTTTAGAACTCCTATGTTTCGAACAGGAAAGGACAAAGATGGGTTTAGCTTGGGGAAATATAATAATTTTCAGGAAGTATTTGGCGACAATGCACGACTCTGGTTCTTGCCTGTGTTTAGTAGGTATGTGTATTTAATCCTTAATACTCTATGTACAACGACAAAGTTATATAGTCTCTGTACAAAGTGAGAACCATTTGCACAATATACAGTGAATACTAAACTATTATACCGATATATTTGTATGCTTCTAGTATACCGTCTATCATAATTATAAAAAAAGAACCATGTGGTTTGGCATACTTAAAAGAAATTCGAAATGCGGTAATATAAGCATTAACACAGATTGTTGAGTACGTTGATCGTAAAAGTGAGCGACTTTTATTTTTTTATCAAAATTTCTTTTCAAGAGCAAAATGAATGCATGCTTTGTGTAATACAACTTTTAATTTCTGATTGGTACATACTTTTATATTTATATATTATTTTTTATATAATGAGGTGAATGTGCAGATTATATGTGGCTATTATTTTTATATCGATGGTCATTCTTCTTCCAGTGCATTATTTTTACATTACCTGTTTTTGTTACATATATATATACATATATATATATATATGTGTGTGCGTGTGTATACATACACATATATATATTCCTTTTTATATAAAATTTCGAAGAAAATGTACTTTTCCCATTTTGTTGAAATAGAATGATATATGTGTTTACAAACTATTGTATTTTATATCTCGGTGTTATATTAAAATTACAGAGATATTTACATTAAATCGAGGCAGGGGTGTATAGGTATATAAGTGGAAATGTATTGTTCCCCATCTTTATTCTGTGTGTCAAATACTCTCTTTGTGTTCTCTCTAATATAAACAATTCGTTAGAAATGTGGATATAAAAACAGTTGGTGCACCATTATTTAGTATGCAACTTTTGCACATTTCAAATTGCTTTTGTTTCAAACACTATGTTTATTTGCTGTGAATACGACTGACGAAATAGCAGATTCAGTATTTTTCAATTGGAGTGGTTGCATTGGATGTGTTCTAGTCTGGGGAATGGTGTCGTCTACCCAGTACGATCGCAGCACCAGGGCACACCCAATACTTATGACTCCATGGGCAGTACTCAGAACAGGTCAGCATTATTAAAGTTCGAATACAGATGTAACATTAATTATCTTGATTCTTTACTATGGAACTCGTTTGCATTTTCTCGATAAGAATATAATTTTTATATAGATTTTTAAGTGCTTTAAATTGATTATTGAACTTTAAGAGGAAGGTGCTTTCTTTAATCTACTTTTTAGCACTTTTTATTTGGTCACTTTTGATGCCTATTCGGAGCGCTTTATTTTTAGGATTCACTTTAGTATTCACATATTCTTTTGCGTTTTATATATCTATATATTTGTATATATTTTTTGTCTCTTTATAGAGTTCCAGAGTAATGATAAAACCTTTAAGTGCTTCCAGGCTGCATGTAATGCATTTGTATTTTGATATTTGTTTGGCACTGGCAATCATTTTAATTACTATTCCTCAGTCGTTTCTTAATATGCAACTTAAGCTTCTCTACATCTGCAAAGTGTAAAAAATAAAATCTTTATTTACACTGCTTTCGGAAAGATGTTCCTTCTGACTATAATTCTGTTTTACAATATATTATGTATCTTTGCGTGTTCTATGTTTTATTTAAATGTTGATCCTTAAAAAAGATAAAATATTTTAGATGAATGCTATGGCAGGACGAAAGAATATAAATTTCTATAGCATTCTTTAAGAATATTTAAGAATATTGGTTGTGTTTAATTTTTTTATAAAGAAATATTTATCTATATTGTGGAGTGCAAAAAAGTTAACCGCTTTATTTTAATTTTCTGGTTTTACACAGAGGAAATATTTATTAATATTTTTTTTATTTATTTATTTTTTTTTTTTTGTAAAATTGCACATCCTATGTATGAGTATATCGTATTATAAATTTCAGTTGAAGACCAAAAATTGTATTCATTGGTATAAAATTGTTACAATTGCAAAAGAGGTATTGTGCATCTGGTTCTTACAGATAATATTTGTAGTGCATAAAATGGTGTAACTATGTACAATCATCTTTTTTCCCTAAGATCTCTGACTATTTCTCACTTAATTATTGAAATTTAAATTTAATGCAAAAGAGGGATGGAAAAATAACAAAGATATAAATAGTTACATCATGAGGGTAGTAGACATGGGATGACATCGAGTAGAAGGTAGGGTGTGGCTTGCAGCTTTGGAGACGGGGTAAACTTTCCCGAGAGGCTGTGCAATGAGGATACTCATACTCTGTTGGGCCATGGAACCCAACAGTGGGTTGACGATACCGACTTTGACTCCCCACATCCCTACGTAAATCAGGTACTTCGTAGGTTCGATCTTTAGATCAAGAGACAATAATTTTGTCCGAGTCGCTGGCACATATCGAAATCTTGGTGTTAATACGGCAATTATTGTAGCTTCGTTGCAAGTTACATATAGACATTTGTTATCATTTAACAATCTGTACGTAACTGTAAGATTTCTACCTCAGCTCAAATACAAGATGTCCCAGAACTCAGAATTAACAGACGGCGAATTGTGGGACACCGTGTATGTTCAGAGGACTCGACGTATGTTCTCACGACGTAATAGCGAATAAGTTCGATGTATCCTTTACAGAAAGGGTTTTCCCTGACTGTTACCGAGTGGCATTCTTGTATTATTTATTGACACTGATGCGTATTATGATCAAATAATAGTCATTAATAATGAGTGATGAATGTACACGTACATTCCGATAGTTATTACAAGCATTCGTACTTCGTTGAAATAGACGGGCGATCTAGGGGACGAGTAAAGTAGAGGATAAGAGTAGCTAGTACGTTAGTGAGTAAAATAATGTGTAAGCATACTACGCATATGTACCGGAAAGACATAATCTTTTCGCTGTAAAAATATAAGATTTTATTTATCATTTTATTTATATATATATTTGTTTTTATTTAGAACGTTGCCACTCTCCACGTGTTGCACGTGCGCGGTGCGCGTCAGCAAAAATTGAGAGATACAATAAATTGCTCAGTATTATTATTTACAGAGAGTATATATATCATTGTTGGACGCACTATTTTATTAATACACGTTGATTGAATGCGTGGTCTTTTAGATTTTCTGCATTTCATGTGTGCACTACATGAAGTTTTATCGTAAATATACAGATAAGCTTACAAAATACATCATGCCAATTACAGTAAGTGCGCCGTTGAATTCAATATTAATAAGTGTCAAGTATTATTTTCGTCTCACCGCGAGTTCGCGAGCTTTCGCTTTCATTAACAGACTAATTTCGATATTTTTACCGAAATCGTTTGCTGCTTATTCTCCCCTCTAATAATAATAATTTTAAACTATTAAGATAACTTGCTTGAGAATCCATATTTGAATCATTAACTTGTTACAATTGTCTAATATAATATTTTTCTGTTTGAAAAATAAGAGAAGTCGATTAGCTTTTATATTTCACATGTGTGCATCACATACAAAGTATATTTTATATCGTTTGTACGTAGATATATTTTTTTGTAAGCTTGTAGTATATGTATCGAATTTCTTCATGACCAGCTCATTAAAACGTGCAACTTTGAATTTCATTTACAGCATACGTAATTATTAGTTACGCGCACACATCATACATGTAGGTAAATACAGTAGCACTATATCTTTTGTTAGTGTAATTCATGTTACTGAATTTCTGATTGACCACAGGTCCACCATTGATCAAATGACATTGGTAGAAGAAGCTACAATTTTGGCTCTTGGCACTGGGTAATATTATTCGTAGTCCATACGATCCACATGTCACAGCTAAATCTCACGTCTGCATGCGTATACATATAAAACATTTGGGCGATGTTTTTTTTCTTCTTTTTTTTATGCTGTATTCCGGAATTTATACGATACATATATATAATATGACTTTGACTGGGTATGAGGAATGCCAATTAACACGGCTTATATTTTTACATAATTATATTCATAATAACATTTGGAAGGGCTGCGAATTTCTCATCCTTTTTGTTCTCTTTCTTCTTTTCTTCTTTTTTTTTCTTCATGCAATATGCGCGATTCCCGACAACTCCACAGTGGGCACATATACCTCGCTTTTATAGCGCGCAAGATCTTCATGCCTTACATTGCTGCCAAGCTTTATCGAAAGTGATTTTCCTCAATGTAACATGTCAAACATATTTTACAGCACTGCTGTGATAGGTCCTGGTGTTGATGCCGACCAACCACCACTGTTGACTACCGCGGAATCTGTTTGAACAGCACCGTTCATATGAAAAATCTCACGTATACGCTTCTGTGAAATTGTAATTATGACGTAGCGAGTATAGTTTGAAATATCGATTTACTTTCGGTGCTCCTTTCCATTCTACACTCTAAAGTGGAATTAATTTCTCGGGATCGCGCATTAGGATTATTTGGTGTTCCTGTTGCAAAGGAAATTCACTAAACCGTTGCCGCAGTAAGTGCAAATATTTTTAACATTAGAAATTGCCCCCTGCGCTAAGATACTTTTAATATTGACTGTATTATATACATATATTGTAATATATACACGGATCGTTGTTAAAAGTATATTGTTATGGTTACTTGTAATTTTAATCATAGTATATCACATATTATAAGTTAATCATCCTCATAAATATGATACATAATATCGATGTCATTATAAATTTATAAATTGCTTGAATGTGTAGATTACGACTTGTACCATAAATACTGAGAAGCATCACACTGCGATTTAAATCAGGAAAACATTGCATTTGCAATCATCATCTTTGTTAAAATATAAAGTCTATGCACTTTCGAACAACTTCTGAATAAGTGCACATTAGTGCAATAAATTAGAGTGAAAGAAAGTGTATTTTTTTCATTCTAACACTTATTGCACTAGTTTAGAAGTTCTTCAAAAACGAATAGATTTATAGATACATACACGTGTGTGTTAAACAAAAGAATAATTATAAATAAAAATTCGTCCATACAACTTTACTGTGAGAAAGAGATTACATAGGATGATTCTGATTTCACTTAATAATTTCTGTGCTATTATTAATATATAAATTATATGTAAGTTAACTATTTTACCATATAATGTCAATTTTATAAAAAAATAGAAAAGAAACGTTTTTAAATAGCACAACATAAATTTATGCATAAAATATACTTATTAGGAATATATCTTATTATTTCAAAGTTATTTGTAATGACATTTTAAGTTTTCACAATATAGAAAATTGTTTGTTCTGGTTTCCAGATATTGGTTACTTGCAAAATCTACGTTAAAGACGTGAAAAAGAAACTACAGATGTATATAACTTTTGTTTGATAATGCAACAATCAAACAGAAATTTCAAGTAGAAAGATCAAGAAGTATAGAAACTCGGTCAAATGGTTAAGATATGTAGATGATCTATAAATCATCTATAGATGTATCAAGTCTCAGTTTATACTACATATAGAATAAAAGAATCGTCCTGTTAATTTTTTTCAAATAGATACTTAATATAGATTATAATTTTATTCCATATGATACAAAATCTTGGATTAAGTGCCATCAACTTTAGAACTTTCTAATAATTTCGATTATAATGCTTTATTACACATACATACACCATATATATTTATATAAATATATATATATCTATATATATATTTATATATACAAACCAGGGATATATCTATGTTATAGCCTATTTCTTCACATCAAATGAGATAACTGTGTAATGTTAACTATTAACCATGTATTACATGACATAACGAGATTATAAAGACAAGAGTTTGTACTTACATATATAAATAATTTGGTTTTTTGCAGTTTACATATTAAATTGGAAGAACAGTGTTATCTCTATAAATATTTGATTACAAACAATAAACTATTCTATTGGTATATTTCGAGCAGAATTTGTTACATATTATGAAGTTTCGGGCATAAAAGATTGTACATATGTTTTGTATTGGACTGCCATATTTGCTTATAGAAGTATGTTTCTTAAGAAATTATTTATGTTTATATTTGTATAATGTATAAAAATAGTATATATATTTATTATCAGTTTCACATGTAATTATACTAAAAGCCAGATGAATTAGTAAATGTCAATTTAAATTTACAATTTATATAGTAATGTTTATTCAGATATGCTTATTCTATATTACACATATATTTCTTTTAATATACGTTTAAAAAACAGGAGCTTTATAAAAAATTATTGTCATTAATTTGAAACCTGTTCAAATTATTTCAAGATATATATGTTTATATATATACTATATCTGCATTACAGTGTATAACCATAATTCGTAATCCACTTTAATCCTTCCACTGTCGATGATTTCGGCCGATATTCTAAACCAATATATCCTGTATAGCCTGCTGTTTCTAACAGTGAAAGAACATATTTATAATCTATTTCCCCTGAAGTATCCGGTTCATGTCTATCAGGTACTTGAGCTATCTGAATGTGACCTATATAAGAATTATATAAAATTATATAAAAATAACAATATAAAAGTCTATCCTAAATAAATTGTATACTGGGATCTATAATGTATCTTGCTTTGCAAACTGCATATATGGAATTAAAAAGAATCTGTGGATTTACATAATATATTGATACTATTGTATATAAAGATACTGACCAACATAAGGTAGAAATTCTTGAATGTTTTTTGTAATATTGCCACAGCAATGTTGCAAATGAAAAAGATCCAGTTGTAGCTTAAAGTATGCATTATTTATCTTCTTTACTAGATCCAAACCTGTATTGGTAAAAAGGAAGATACTGGGTGTCACATATTAAATATAAAAAAGTAATATCAGTTACATCAGAATCAATGTGATGTTGCACCTTTTTTAAAATTATTCATGTAGTAATTTGGTACAGTGAAATTATTAATTGGTTCAATCACAACAACAATGTTTTCCTGTTGACATTTTTCAATTGCATGCAACAAATTTTTTTCATAAACTGTATCATTGTCTATAGTAGATGACTTCACTGTTCCTGACATTACATGAATCCTGTTAGGGCAAGATGTATTGTTACAATTGTATGATTTGAACTTATTGTTGCGAGAATTAATTGTTAATCAGGTTTACATTTACTTTACAATGCATAATATACTTACATTTTGCAATCCAAAGCTTTGGCATATTGGATTGTTTTAGCAATACTTTTTTTAAAATCATCTTCTTTACCTGGAATTGCAGCATAGCCTAGTTCTCCTTTTGTAACATCACCTATTGATATAATACAGATATAGAGATATAGAGATGTATAAGGTTTTAGTTCATGAAACTCTAGTAGGAATTAATATTTACTTTCAATCTATATTTATTTATTTATATACATGTGAAAATATGTGAACGTGAAATTATAACACTGTACCTGTGAACACATTTAGGAGAATCTGATGGACACCTGCCTTATTTTTGGCTGTAACAACTTGTTCAATGGATAAGCAAAAAGGAAATCCACTTTCAACTGCTTTAAATCCAGCCTGTCTTGCTAGTTGATACCTGTCAATTATGCTAGGTACCTCCGTAAACATAAAAGACAGGTTACTAGCGAATTTCAAAGCCATGATCGCGTTTCTCTGTCTTCAAAAACATTCAAGTAGATACATTCAGAAAAGTTATCACGATAATTCTTATCTATGATAAAAAAATTACTATATAATACTTTCACTACTCATACGGATAAAGATTTTGAAATTACAGCGTTATTTGATACGTAAATATTCTCGCATTACGGATTAAACAGACCGGAACGAGTATTCTTTATAAAATGTTCCTATTTACTTTTACAATGCTACCTTAAGAACGTAGAAAATAGGTTAAGTCCGTTATATAGTTAACGGCTACCATGTAGATGACATATGTTGCATAAACATCGATTAATTTAAAAAAACGGACACTTTTCCAGTTTGATGTTTTTTAATGTTTAAAGATTATTTAAGATAACACAAATCTCATTTGATAATCTAACTTCTACAGACAGCTATTTGCAATTTCTTGAATGACTACTCATGATAATGATCAGTCGTCGATAAGGAATGAGAAAAGGAAATTGTAGCAATTAGAGGATACATGTGGAATATTCTTAAAATAGTGATATTCCCGTTAAATTCTTAAACACTTAGATAAATGTTACTTAATATTTTTTAACAAGTTTTACTTTCATTTCATTAAATATGATACAAAAAATTGTATAATCTACAGGAAGATTTCTGGGCTTAGAAACTACATCACATGCTTTTTATCATAAAAATTCTTATTATACTATTCACTTCTCTCTACATTACATTCTTATAATAATTCAGATAGCACAATACCCTGACACCATTCTGGACATATATTTAGAATAATTCTAAAACGTCTTGTACTATCTGAGATGTTGAATATGATTTTCAACCGACAATTAATTGTATTTGGTATCTTTAGATTAAAATTGTTGCTTTTCTTCATTTTCCACAAGAAATAATGCTGTAACTCATAATTTGTTTGCCCTCTTAAAGAGAGAGAAGCAATATTTCTGAGTTAAGCACTGTATACAGTGTATGTAGACACATATGTTAAAAAAGTTTCTTAAAATATCGTTTCTTAAAATAGATATTATTAAGATACATCAAAGTTTTTTCAATATTTTCACGATGTTAATATACAGGAGGGTTTTTGCGTCACGACCCCAAAGATAATCGATATGGTTGAATTTGTCATATTGTATCTTTTTAACTTGTCTGATGTTTGGTAATTTCTTCGCCAGTTTTTGGACATCCTAAAATAATAATAAATGTGTAATGTCCGCAATAATTGGTGTATAAGTCTATGATATGAGAATGTTATTAAATTACTTATAGTAAATATACAATAGTATAAAACTTACAGTAGCATGAGTGAGGAAATCATTATCACTGTAAAAGATTGTCACGGGCGTCTTTATTTTACTGAGATTATATTCAGGTGGCCTGATAGACCCGTATAACATTTTGTTCTGCTTAGCACCGTGGTCGTATTTCTGAAACGATTCTGCAAAGGGCATGCAAAGAGATCATAAATTATGCAACTAGTGTGCAATATTTTAACAGCATGTTCTAGAAGTTAGAAATAAAAGATTTCCTGATAAGAAAGTTAAGTATAGAGTTATAAAGTCAATGAAAGTTGTTGATTAATACATAGTATAGAATTGGCGCGGTCGATTATGCAATCTAACATGTATACATGTATGTGCATCGATTATTCATTTGTTATTAACTTCCGCAAGTCAACCGACCTGGTTGTTCACTTGAAGACAGTATATTGGTCCAGCATTGTTACTTACTGGAGGTGATTAGCTGAGCAAAATGAAACATTTGCTTGGTTGAAGCACCAGCTGGGAAATGTCCGAATATCTCAGGCAACATGGACTTATCGAGTTGATTACTACCAAATCCAGCGATAAGATGAAACCAACAATAACAGAAACTCTTTGTCATCGCGCCAGGAACTGTGCGTATGAAGGAGCTTAACAGACGTGTTTGCCACCGTCTGTTACGCGGGAAACAATGATGTATGTTCCAAACGACGGATCCCCACTGAAATAATAACATAATAACTGATGAAATAATAACTGAAATGAAATAATAACTGATACAATAACAGATACATCATCGGAAATCGTTCCGGAAATGCAAGAAGAAAAATTTATTACCTCTGCTAAACGATAAAAATACACAAGGCATTTCAAAAGCGGACTTTTTTGATTCGCCAGGTACGCTACAGGCGCCAAGCTTATCATGCCTTCGACCTTATCGTTGTACTCGGGTCTCTCACTCCCCATAACGTAGAAAACAGTTGTACCTTGACTGTAACCGATGTAATACAATTTGGTATGGCCAGTTTTATCCAGGATATAATCTATCAACGCCGGTAAATCGTAGTATCCGATTTCGTGCCAACTGTAACAAAAATACATATCGTTTACGCATACACACAATGTCGTGTTTGCTTGGATTTGAGCATTTGAGTATTCTTCAAATGACCTGAAATTCCAGAATTCGTTATCTCTAATCGAATAACGTTTATGGCCTCTGGAGTAAGTGTTACCACGAGCGTTTCCAAGCCAAACGTCGAACCCGTTATCGCAAAGGACGTACGCTGCAACGTGCAATATTACATATAACAATAACAAATGAAACATATATTTTATATATTCCATTGATCGTTAATTAATTAGCTGCACTATATTATCAGTCTCAGACCGTTAAGTTTACTAAAGTTGCTAGAGAGAATATTTCAACGTATAATTAGACAACTAAAATATTCAGTTTTGAAAATCCATTGAACTTTTCTCATCAAAACATTTCTTATATGTCTCTTTCGGATGTATCGGATGATTTTCTTTAAATTATTCCGAGATAAAATCTCGGAAGTAAACGTAATTTAAATTAATATATCTGCAGTCAGCACGCGTTTCTTCCTATTTTATGAAAAAGATTAATGCCACAAAGGAGAGAATACTTCGTGTGAGAATATTATTTTCTTAGATTTGTATATAAATAAAATGAACATGTGATTTGAGTTTACTAACCAAGAGCTTTATGAGAGCCCAGTAGTACCCAATCCGCGGAACTGGATAAGAGTCCATGATGCACAAGAACCGGTATCTTCGAAGATGCAACTGAAGCCCGATCTGAGACCCGATCGCACGACTCAGGGGAAACTGACGAATTGTGATTTTTACTATTATTAACCATGGAACCAAGCCAGTCGATTGTGTGAACACCTAATGATACGGGCGATATCCGATCATCGGGAGGAAGCACGCGATGTACGTTCAAACGATAATCATCTTCTGTCCAAACGTAATGAGTCTCGGCGATGTAACCGTGAGTTTCGATCAGTTCATGCTGTAAACATATTTAAGTAAACATATTTAACTATATTATATACAGTACCGAGCTAATCATTTTTTATGTATGCATTAATTAATTTCTGCACATGGCGGTAGCTAGGTTGATCGGTCTCGATTTATCTATATTGGATCTTATCTTCATTGGATTATATTTACAATTGATTCTCCTCGATAAATGTTTTTGTTGTGATGATTAATTAAACACACATTGAGCTATGAGAACAGTCGTACAAATATTAAACTCACGTGAGATTTGATTATTCACACGTGAGAATCGAAGCAGTAGCGAAGAGGGAGTCTCTCTCGCTACGTAATAAATAGATATGATTTGCAAGAATAAAAAGTACTTGACATTGATCCGAGATTTGTAACACATAACTGTCTCAAAGAGGATAATTTGATTTACTTTGCACTGTCTCGACTTTATTCGATTAGCTGATGAAATATCGGGCTATACGCGGCATTCTATTTCGATTAGAGTTTCTTCGCCAAAAGTAGATCGTTCGTTTGGATATGCTTGTTCGATAGATTGACTGAGAGTTCATTTTGTCTATAATTTCATGCAATTTCATGAATTAATTAATAAAATTATCGCGATTGTATTTTAAATTTGCGACTGGTCTTTAGATATATTTGCACAATGATTTTATATAAAAAACAATGAAGATTTCTCCAACGAGCCGTTGGACGATCGCGTATACATGTAGACAATTATATTTCCTTTTAAACAGCATTGAATTTATAGAAATATATTTCTATTATTATAATTATTTTTCTAATACAAAGTTGTAACAGTTACATTTTCGAATTCGTGTTGAAAAACTGTATGATTATTTCCAAACATATGCATCTCTAATTTTCCGATCTTTTCGATTGCTTATTTCGTGAAACTTCAATAGCTTAAATGCAATCATGTTTTAAAATAATATTATTTGTGTACTGTTATGTATAAATGAATTATGTATAAATGAATAAAAGACCCCAATTAAAAATTGTTTTCAAAACAAAATTTAAATTGGAACTCATTTGTTTTAAATTTAAATAAATTAGTTAAATGAGAATTTAAATTGGAAATTTAAATATAATTTTATTTAATTAAGACAATTTAGATTGAATTCGAATTTTTTATTTAAATCGAAAAAATTAAAGTAACCGTATTAAATTTATCTACAGATTTAACGAAAATTTTACGTACGACAACTCTATTTTCACAGATTACATCAATGTTCAAAGATTAACATGTTGCGCACCCGTCTCCGGAACAAGAATGAGAGAAAAAAATATGCTAATACGACGTGTGTCTTACTGTTGTCATGTGGGCCTTGTCTCTATTCGTTATTTCTCTCATCTCGCCGAGGATACCAGTCCGCGATGGGAGTCGGAGTCGCGAACGTAGTGAAATTCACAAGCGTGTCCCAATACAACGTTTCGAAGCGTGGTCTCTCCTCCTTTCTCTCTTTCACTTTTTTTCTCCTTCACTCAGGCGCAACTTTCGAGAAAGCGATGCGCGAAATTGCGACGCTGGAGACACAACAAGGAACCGCTGCTTGCGAGAACTGCTGCTTTGCGCGTTTCGAGGAAGAAAGTTCGCGCGCGCGTTTGCGCGGAGGGATCGCTACTTCTCCTTTTGTGTCTCGTTTTGGAATTGGCGAGAGGATTGTCTCTCAAATAGTGCGGTCGAATTCACTTGTAAATTTACACGAAGTATACGTCCCCGTGCGTGACAGATTCCTAACTACCACGAACAGAGACGCACAATGACTACAAGCTTGAGTGCGAGTACTCGAATATATACGTACGAGCAATGACGTTTCAGATATAGTGTAAGGTGAAATCACGAAGAATACTTTTCTTCCTTTCAACTTCGAGCAACTTCCTATCGGTTGTGCTGCGGCAAATCACTCATAAACCATCGGGTTTACGCATTATCGAATTTTTATCGACTTTCGATAACATTCGATGATTCACGTGAAAATAATTTTTTTCCGTAACTCCGGGCACCGAGTGCTTTGAGACAGCCTTGGATCGACGACGCTGCGCATGCGCAATCATCTTGCGCGGTTATTTCATATCCATAATTATGTTTATATAAGCTTAGTTTATGTTAAGTATAGTTAGCGGCAAGAATGCTACATTTTTCCTCTTCAATAAATTTGCACGCATATCCATTATATAATTTTGTCACCTAATAATTTTCAGAGAATCAATTTTTCTATTCTATATTATAATACTATAATACCTGATACATACACAGACAGTAATTTTCCGTTAAATTATCTTTATCGCAACGATGCATGTAAACATATTAAATTAGAATCTGCATCAATACAGATTCAGAGAGAAATTGTTGAGAGGACCGTTGAATTTGGAATTATCATTATGATCATTCGAAAATTACCGCATGTGGAATTTGAACGAGAGTTCTAGTTTGCTAGAGGAAGTAACTTAAAAAGGAACTAAATTTCACAGTTTGGCACCCGAGGATATCGGAAAGCAGGACTCCTTAATACCACCGCCAAGTGAAATTTCCGCAAAGTTTCAGTGCACATTAGTACGAATATTGCGCGGATGAATGTTTGTCGAGACCGATCAAACAGACCGACACATTCGTGACGTGCATTTCGACGTATTTCCGCGCACCGAGAGTGCAGTGGGACACACGGCCGGTCGTCGTCTGCGCATGTTCGACAACGTTCCTAACGGAAACCATTTTGTGTCGTCTTCCTTCCTCCTACTTTCTCTCTCTTCTTTCCTCTCTTGTTCCGTCCTCCTTGTCGACGTCGCTTGTCGTCAAGCGACGCCGCCATGATCGTTCCGGCAGTGTTGTGCAAGCTCCACGGTTCTCCGGTCAAGAATTCAAAAGCACGTCCATTTCCTGAGGCGCCGTAGGCGAGAATCTTCCGCGCGCATCCACCGACCATGCGATGCGCTGCAATGGCGGTGTAGTGGACGTCCCGGGGTGCGGAGGATCGCTTTTCCAAGGAGTGAGTAGGACGATACGACGGCTTCTCGCGACCTTCCTGACACGCCGCGAGCGGCGTCAACGCCGGCAGCGGCATTTTACGGCCTCGCGTACGTGATAATGCGGTGTCACGATGCGCGCTCGCGACAAGTTTAGCCCGCTCGATCGTTGTCCGCCCGTGCCGTTCCGAGAGAGCTCGTTTCACTTCCATATTGAGCGAATTCGCGCGCGAATCGTCCGCCCGTCACGATAAAATGCCTTGGGGTGTCGATAATGAATATCCGTTGGACGCGCGGACACTGATGTGGCCGCGGTGACGATGCGGGCGGGAGGATCGTGCGTAATCTGGGCGTATCAGGTTAGGACGATGCGAAGTCGAGTAATCGCGAAGCGCATGTTTATAAAATCCGTTTTCTTGCTTTTTTGTTTTTCTTTTTTTTTTCCCCGACGAAGTTGATCTTGTGACCACGAGCTACGATGCGACGCGAAGATTCGATCCTGATATCGATAATTATGTGGCCAACTTCCGTCGGTGTGCTGATCTTTCCCGCTCCAAACGATAAGTTTGTCACGCGTCTTGCTGTGTTTTCTTTGTGTGTCGCTATTATTAGAAGTATGAATTATCGAAATTCGTGATGAATTTGTAGGATAACAAAGAAATACTGCGAGTCATTCGCAATGCCGAAACTATATATTTTTACATTTTGGCATATCCTGTGTGTTTTGGCATATTGTGATTATTGATACAAATGTATTATTTTAGGAATATATATTCTATTCTCCTAATTCTTCTTTTGTATTATAAAAATAAAATGTATTAGTATTTACAGTTTTATGCACAATAAAAAATAATATTTTTAGAATGCCAGAAAGCGATATATATAGTAGTTAGGATCATCGACAAATGATTAAATCAATTGGAGGTCTTAATTTTTGTCTCTTTTCAGATTGTGTGCAGTGTTTTGCTATCTGAATGGACAATAAGGTAGACGTTTCTGAAAGTGAAAATCTTTCAATGATTGTTGGTACTCCTGGAATTTTTCATCTGCCTGACGTTCCAGAAATATCGGAGGTATTGGAATCAACTGGTCTTAGCCCCTTAACTTCTTCCTTAGATCAGACTCTTACACTGCAAGAAGATAAAGTTCTTTCATCGGAAGTTAACATGGGTATTGAGGATACATGGTAAGAACAACATTTTCTAAGTATAATTTTGGAATTTTTATTCATTGGGAGTAATTGGTATCATGTTGCTTCAGGACTGAAGCTAACAGTTCGACGTCAGACTATGCGATTCCTCTTCCTCCACCACCTGGGTTGAATGATTTCTCGGATGTTGGAGCAGATTCCATTGGTGATTCAGGAACTGGCATAGAACATGGTCCATTTTTGCCACCTGGCACTCCAGCACTTAACAATCTCTTTGCAGAGACTGGAGATTCACATGATGACTCACCAATGGGTGAGTGTATGTAATGTAAAATATGTTCATAATATAGAAGGTCATGACAGTACACATCATATTTCTACCCCTTCTCTGTGAACATTTCCAGAGGTGGTAGTTTTGCCTGCGGGTGTGTGTGGTCTTCGCAATCTGGGTAATACCTGTTTTATGGCAGCTGGACTACAATGTTTGACTGCAACACCACCTGTTCTCCAACATTTTTTGGACTTGCAGCATAGAGGGGAGAAATTGCCACCACCTGGGTCACTAATGGCACATTTCAGTGTGCTCCTCGGGAAGATGTGGTCTGGCAGATATAGCGTACTCAGACCAACAGAGTTCAAGCAGACCTTAGGAGCCTATCATTCGCAATTTAAGGATTACAGGCAGGTAAGCACTGTTGGTACGTTTAATCGTGATTGCTGGCGTCTAATGTTGCTGAGTACGAAATCGCATTGTTTATTCAACAGCACGATTGTCAAGAATTTCTGGCGCTTTTGCTGGATTCCCTTCACGAACAAATGAATACGGCAAAGTGTGCCAAGAACTGTCAAGTTCCATTATCCACAACCACTGCCAACTCTTTTAACTCTATCGAAAATTCGAGCGGAAAGGCCCTTTCTCCCGTCACTGCCACAGCCAATCTCAATTGTAACCCGGGTCTTTTAGAGATAGACGATTGTTCGTCGCCAGATTGTCCAAACAGCCCCAACGTGACTATGGCCGGTTCACCGAGAGGTAAGAGATTCCTATCATCCGCACGTAAACGCATGTAACAGTTACGTGTACCTTGGACTTTATAATAACTAACTTTTTAACTTGATATCTCGACCTTGAATTACTCGTCAATGCTTTGATTAAGATTTTGATTCGTCGATCGGAGAACTCGACAGTATCACGAATTCACCGCGAGGTTCACCGTTAAATTGCGAGGACGACGAAGAAACGCTCGATTCGGACGAAACGGTCGAGGCGCGTTCAAGCACTTTTATTCACAATAAAGTGAACGAGGAGAGCGCGAACGAAATCGCTCCAACGCGATCTCTGAGATTGGACACGTTAATTGAACTGTCGAAAAGTGTGCCGCAGTATGGTGACTTGTACGACATTCACAAAGAGGCTAAGACCAGTAATGCCAATTTCTTAGTGACGCAACAAGAATGCAATAACGAGATCCACTACGATTCGCAGAAATTTCCCAAGGACAATGTGCGCAGAATGCCGTTAGATAATTCGAATTTAATGGAGAATCATGACTTCGATAACAAGAGCGTCAGCATCAAACGCATCAAGGAGGTGAACGTACAGAAAGTGAACGGCAGCCTCGACCATGCGTCAAGCGGCTCCGATATCGAGTACGACAGTGGCCTGGAAAAGTGTAACGTGAAGCGCATGAGACTGGACGATCAGGAGAAGAATCACAAGCGCGACGGTCTCGGCAACGACAGCACCCAGTGTTCGCGGATCCCGCAGAATTATGGGAACGGCGCGATTGCCGCTCAGGATGAGATCGAGGCGGACAAACACTGGGTGAAGCACCTGCGATCGAATAGGAGCATCATCGTCGATACCTTCCAAGGCCAGTTCAAGAGTACGGTAAGGATCTTGAATCGAATGGCATCGTCTAGTCTTGCTCGTTACTATTATCACGGGAGAACTATACGTTGGAGTAATGCCGGAATTCTCACTGGTACTTACTGTAAAAAGTCTCCCACATTAAATCCGTAGTAGATTAATCCTTCTTGCTTTCGGATAGACGAAAGGCAGGTCTCATACTACTACTATAATCCGTAATTTACAACAATTTTCTGCAAGAATTGCACACGGCGTTTCTTTCGAATCGATAGATTCGAGGCAAGCGAGGCACGCATGTGGTTTGCCTTGAGGGAAAATCGATCCCATGTGTGGCGAGAGAACCGTAGTTCGAGGGACATTCTATGATTCCAGAGTGTTCCGCGCGCAGCGCGCTGGGTGTTCACTACGATTTGAATATGTTGCAGGTCGTGTGCTCGGTTTGCAATCACGTTTCCGTTACGTATGAACCTTTCATGTATCTGTCGGTGCCGCTACCTCACGCGATGGAGAGGCAGTTGAGTGTCACGTATGTCCCAGTGAACGGCGAACAGCCCGTAAGATGCGTAGTTTCTTTGAACAAACAGTCACGAATTGGAAAATTGAAGGAGGAGTTGTTGAAAACACTCGGCAAGGAAGACATCTCGGTTACGAATATCGCACTCGCGGAGGTCTTAGAGAATCACATAGCGAAGATTCTGGTAGGTACGCCGAACAGATTTGCTCTTATACTTCTCTGTAACACGGCTGTTGGAATAGAGTTCTCGTCTTATGCGCTAATATTTTTGGAGATCTGCTCGAATGGAAGTTTATGTCGTGTTGCAAGTTACAATAGTTACGATCAAATAACGGCTTTGTCCAATTCGCACGTTATACGTCTATCTGAAGACTCAATAGCATTGGGATCGATGATCTCTTGCAAGAGTTCAAGTGTTTAACGCGTTGTTGATTTTCGAAAGAGTGCTCTCAGTAGTAACAAGTAATTGTAATTTGAATCGCAAGATTTATCGTCTCGTTAGGAAATAATTCTGGAGAGTTAAGAAGGTGATATACTGATCAGGGTCGCTTATCGCCGATACCGCTCTCCTAGAGAAATTTCATGGAAGAACATTCTCGTAACGAGAAAAATTTAGTTACGAGGCTACGTTCCATCGTACAGGCTCATCAATTCTTCTCTTTGTTTATCCTTCTCTTCCTCTTCTCTCTTCTCCTCTTCCTTCCTTCCTCTCCCCCCCTCCCTCCCCCTCCCCCTCTCTCTCTCTCTCTCTCTCTCTCTCTCTCTCTCTCTCTCTCTCTCTCTCTCTCTCTCTCTCTCTCTCTGTCCTCACCGTTATAATTTCGTCAACGTTGCCGGTTTTTTATTGCTATTGCTTTTTGACTCTATTATTTTCCCCTTGTACTTAGGTATCGGGAATTACTTGCTTGCTGTAGCTTATCGTACTAGGCGGAAACGTCACTCTGTTGGATTCTACATCAAGGTTTTAAATTTAAGGATGACAATACACTCTTGAGACACGTGAATGATACGAATCGATCGATATACGCCTTTGAACTCACGGAACCTCCCGATGCGTACACTACAGTGTCCGACGGCGGTGGGGAACGTGCAACGGAGACAGAGGCCTGCCAGAGATGCACGATCACGGGCGAAGAAGTGCCGTGTATGATCTGCCTCGAGGAGCTGGACGGCGATTTGAAGAGGCACAGCGGAAACAGCTGTAACTTCATCATGTGCGATCCGTGTATCGAGGTAATTCTGTTGTTACGCTGGAACGGAAATTTCTTGATTGATACAGCACAATGGTTTTAACGCAGTCACTGCTATCATTACTGAAGTAGGTACAATTTTCTTCGATCTTGCCGATGTAAAATTTGCGTTCGAACGCGTTCTAACATCGCGATTTGCGACAAAGTCGACTCGAAGGCCGCGTGTGTATTTCAGACACGGCATGGCAGCGAACGTGTTAAATATATACTTAAAGATTTTTTTTTTTTTTTTTTCTTTTAATTATAAAACTGCAGCCTCGCACATATTTTGTAAGAAGTTAGAGTTAAATACTCTATTCTATTCTGTCGTGTTCAATGCGAGCAATTGCGAGCATCCCAATGATGAAAGTGGCAGTGTCAATCTAGCGGAAGGGGTGTACGAACAGGGCACATGTTGTCAATGTATTCACCTCGGGAAGGTCTGAGATAAGGTCATTGAACGTTCTAGACGGACGGTACCGTAATGGTACGTACGGGAACCAGAAATAGCTTTACGTTCTTCAAAATGCCGGGGACGCTTTCTCGAAAAGCAGAGGCGACTGGAAACGGAAAGATGGAAACTCGTACGGCCCGCTTTTTTAGTACAATCCGCAAGCCTGGTAGTTCATACCTGGAACTCAATTCAGACTAATCTGATGCTGCCGCCTATCTGAGGGTCTCACCTGCTATCGATCGAAATTTACCTTGTTTTCAACTAGAACTGCCCGAGCTCTTCGCAATCATCGCAACGGAATCGTCGCGCGAATCAAATTAAACCCTAAAGAAAGTAAAGAAAATCTCGAGAGACTCAGGTTTCTATCGTTCGACAGAATTACTTCAAGAATCAAACGGAGCCTCAGACATGTCCGATGTGTTCCACGTACATGACAGCCTCGTCGTTCACAAAGATAGACCAGACCGGCCGACCGAGGCCCACCGTGCGCATTCTAAATGTACCTTTGGTGCTGAGGCACGACACGACGAACGAGACGACGAACAATCGCAAAGGCACGAAGCTCTTCGGCTATCCGCATCTGATACGGCTCCCTTCGCGAGTGAACGCACGGGACTTGTACGATATCGTGAAGAAAAATGTGTCGCATGAAGGACAATACACGATTCACTTCGTCGACGGGCAGGTTAGTGCAGATTGATCTCTTCGTGTACGTGCGAATGTACGCACCTGATTCTACGATACACAAGTTAAAGGTTATACGAGAAAAGAGAGAGAGAGAGAGAGAGGCAATATGTGGCGCATCGTGAGGGTTTAAAGAAGACAAGTTGTTCTTGGCACAGGGTCATCATTGTTCGCGGTGTATGTATACCGCGCACTGTACAGGATGCAGCGTGCCGGAAACAGGAATGGTCGCCTTACAGAACGGTGATACGCTCGCGGTTCGATGTACCGAGCACGTCCCTAAGATTCTGCATCCCATCGATCACATCAGCGTCAGTAAGCAACGGCCGCATCACCCACTGTCTCTTTACGATTGTCTTCAAGCGTTCAGTCAAAGGTAATTCGATTCTTTCAATTGTTTCGCTTTGAATTTGTGGCATATTGCTGAATGAGATCAGTACCGTGACAAGCACTTCTCACACGCATCCGTTTGTTTACTTCATTGTCTTAGCATCGAAATACTTGAATACTTTTAGCGAAACTCTAGACGAACACAATCCTTGGTTTTGTCCGAAATGTGGGCGTAATCAGTGTGCCACGAAAACTCTTACAGTACATCGATATCCCAAGTTCCTCATTGTATATCTCAAAAGGTAGGCAATGTTCGTGAAACGTACTTTGAAACTGCCTTGTGATTCGATGTAGATCATGTATATGAACCTGAACGTCGCTGAAGATAGCTTCAAGCCTTGATCACTTATATATTATAGGTTCGTGTTTTATGAATGTACGAGTATGAAGCTAGACGACAAAGTCACATTCCCTCTGGTGGGTCTGAGTGTAGGACGTCACCTATATGATCTCTACGCTTGCGTGTGTCACTTCGGAGGTGTGTACTGGTCTTAAAAATAAACGTGACCTTCTTTCGATCGAGTCTCGTTCACGGCAAGTGGAATTTCAGGTGTTTCTGCGGGTCACTATACGGCATACGCGAAGAATCCTCGCACAGACGTGTGGTATTATTACAATGACGAGATCACGAGCAGGCAGAAACCACAGGATGAGGATTTCAGCAATGCGTACATATTGTTTTATAGCCGACAGGGGACCAACTTGAAACCGTGCAATATATAACAAGTGATGTATTTAACCTGATAGGACGGGAAAGAACACGTTGAGATTGTGGTGTGTGTGTGTGAGAGAGAGAGAGAGAGAGAGAGAGAGAGAGAGAGAGAGAGAGAGAGAGAGAGAGAGAGAGAGAGAGAGAGAGAGAGAGAGAGAGGCATTAATCATCGGGTGACTGGAGACGAAGAGGTGGATGTCGAGAAGAGATTGACGTTCGCGTTCTTCCACGTACTTTTCTGCTATGACGTTTTATTCACGTCATTCTTTCATACGTTTTAAACGTATATACCTTAATCTTACCCGTTGGTTTACACGATTTCCTGTATCTACCCTATATCTGCCTCCGCTAGAGCTATTTTTGAAAAGTGCAATAAGATGCGCCTTCGTTTCGCGCGTATCGAGATTGCTCTTTGAATTGCGTCGAATATCAAATACTTATCACCTATGTGTTTCTTTGGCGATCGTTGTGCGATTTCTCGATGAAGGACGAACGTGAATCGCGAACGATACCCTACCCTACCGGTGACGTCCTGGGCTAAAACAAACTTTTAGGTCTGATTTAATTCATGGATTCTGAGAGAAAGCGAATGTTATTTGTACTGCATATTGTAAACGTATGTCGACTTTGTACAGTAGATGGTTAAATGTAGACTCAAGAATTCTAAACATTACGTAATTTATATTAGTGAATAAAGGTGAACGTCACATACTCTAAGATTTCAGTTATTATTTATTGACACCTGTCCTATCTGTTGTTTTGATTCTACTGCTGGAAAGTAACTAATTGATTTGCTAAAGAGTAATAATTGATAAATGAGATGTTTGAGACTGATATGGGTCTAACAGTAAAATGTCTTGTGTTTTATGCCTTTAAACCCTGAACGTTAAAAACTTAAACATTCTTGCTGTTTCACAGAGGATTTGTACCATTTCTTACATTATTATGTGTTTTTAATATCACATTGATGTTGGAAACTAACAAGAGCAAAAGTAACAAATAAAAATCTTATTCAGTCAAGACTCAAATCTTATTTAGTCGAGACTCAAACAGCTTCTTCAGTGGATTTTTCTATGCAACTCTCTGGCAGTGGCAGATTAGGCGATCTATTTTTTCCATTGTTTGGTTTATCGTTAACTCTTATATTACATGTATCGTTTTCTACCAGTTATTAGTATCTTGGAATTTGATTTATCAAACGCACAGGAAACAATCATTAACAAAGAAATGACTGTATGATTAACATAATAGATAAATTCGTCATAGTTCTTGCGTCCTTCCATACCGACTTATGATAATATGATGTTGAATATCCTGTAAAACCTACTTGCTGACTTCTGATAAAATAGCGTGCTAGAATTCGTAAGATAGTAACGCGCGATTACAGGAAAATTTTATTCTCCATTCTCGTTATTTTTGTTTCTCCAATAAGAAGTATCGAATCCGCTTCTTTAACGTTGCACTTTGACGTCAAAGTTCGCATTATTGATTTAGCGGCAGGAAGAAATTTTTAAATTATTCAGATGTTTTTAATTCTTCTCTTAAATCTTTTACTTTTTCATTTTCAAGTAAGTAGCGCTTAATGACTAGCTAGATGTCTTTTTGTTTCTAAATTTTGCGATTTAACAAAATAGAAAATTCTTCATTTTCAAATTATCCATTCAACACGGAAAATACTTTTATTTTCAAGCTTCTGTTTCTGTAAAAAAAACTAAGTTGCATTTAGTTTGCGCGATAATAACGTTTCATGTTCTGATGAGAAAATTATATAGTGTAATATATGTAAAAATATTTATGGTCTAGAGCGCTGTTGCTGATACCATGTATATATTTCGAATGAAATTTGAAAAATTTTAAATGTTTGCATATGCATCTGACTTCAAAGATATCATATTAGTGAAAATGTCTATAGAAAAGTGTGGAAAAATTTTTTAATCGGTTTAATATATGATAATAAGACTTAAATTTGATGCTCGCATTTGTATTCGCAACTTACAGCCGCGATACATCATAAATAACAACGTGAGCATGCATAGGTTTTCAGGCATGCAAATAGTGTACATTGCATCACACATGTGTTGTTTCCTTTTGCTAGGTACGGTTATAAATAGTCGCGTTAATACACTATAGATTATGACCTCGTAATTAATGTATCCCTATTATGACGCCGTAACTGTTACATCTTGCATTATCGATTTCCCAAGGAATAAAAGACATTATTATCAACAAAAATTATTCAATATATTACAAAGGTAACTTTACCAAATTTCCTCTTCGTCCTCTCTGTTTCTGTTAACAATCTATATATTTCACCCTTCCAAAGAAATATTTATATTATTTATAATGATAACACTTACGCGTTTCGTCGATATAACACATTGTAATATACAATTTATCGCACTAAATAATATTCCACATCAAGAGATTCATTATTTATTAACACGTTCGTTTCGGCACGTTCTACCGCGATGGGCAATGCCGTATACATCAATACACGTCAATAAAAGGAGAGTATGGAAACGGACGAATATTATTTGTTGAATATTATTTGTTCATAACGATCGTGTTACCGTAAAAGCTGGTGCATGTATTGGTAAATTTTAGGTTATAATGGGGAAAAAGAATCCGCGCACGTGTATTGATATGAAAACTCAAAAATTCCCTCAAAAATGTCGATAGCAAACAACAAGGTACAAAGAAGCATTGCCAAGAGTGCCAAAGCGTTTCTCACAGCACTCTCGCCGTTTGAGTAAATGATCATAACGTTCGACAAAAATGGTTTAATCATCGTTCAATCCTATTGTCTCTTCTCTTCTCCCGGGAGGGAGTAAAAACCGCCCTGGTTCAGCAAGCAGTGTATAATCGAGGTGCGAACTTTAACCGGTTCGCTATCTTCCAAAGATAACCCAGCGATAAATCGATTTCCCGCCTCTTATTTCCCTTTTTTTATTCCTCGTTACATTCGATTGTGTAATGGACGTAGTCCGTACGTACGTAACCGTCCTATAACTATGCACACGTACACATATAAATACACATGTACACTCATTGCACCGGGTCGGAGGATCGCGCGTCCGGTGCATCTGTTGCATCGTCCGTACACGGACGAGCAGACGCGCATGCTCCGGCTCAGTGCGAGAACAACTTCTGGGCACGGGGGTGGTTGCTGACGATGGTGGTGGTGGTGGAGGTGGCGGAGGTGGCGGAGGCGATGGTGGTGGAGGTGGCGGCGGTGGCGGCGGCGGCGGCGGCGGCGGCGGTGGCGGCAGCGGCGGCGACGGCGGCGGCTGTCGGAAGAGGTAGTAGCTGTGCCGCGAAGACGCGCGGGGGTTGGAAAAACGATGGGGAAAGCTCGTAGCGGGCTACCGGTTACTACGCGGACGCATGCCCGCTGATAGCTCAGTGGAGCGCGCGACTTCGTGCCGTAAGCACACTTCCTGTGGGTGAATCTCTCTCTTTTTCTTTCTCTTTCTCTCCCTCTTGCTCTCTCTTCCCCTCTTCTCTCTCTCTCTCTCTCTCTCTCTCCCCCCCCCCTTTCCTATTCTCACTCTATCTCTTTTTCTCCATCTGTCGCTCTCTCGCTTCTTTGCTTTTCTCTCTCTCTCTCTCTCTCTCTCTCTCTCTCTCTCTCTTTCTCTCTCTCTCTCTCTCTCTCTTTGTTCCCTGTTGCTACGTATGTGTAAGTGCGGGTGTGCGTGTGCGCGTTTCTTTCTCGCCTCGTCACGCCTCGCTTCGTCCCGTCTCATCTCTGTCTTCTCCTCTGCTCTCTTCTTCTCCTCTCCTCCTCTTGTTGTGTGTCTCCACCTCGACTTCGCTCGTTGCCGCGAAAGTGGCAGGTTTGCGCGAGCGAATAAAATCGGTGGAAGACGATGTAGAGGAGAAGGAGGAATAGAGAGGGAGGAGGAGGAGGGGGAGGAGGGAGAAAGGAGGAACTGAGGTGATGATAATCGCGGAGGCGAGAAGAAACGCCGGGGATGCCGTAAGAAATCCCCCGTGCGTTACGGTGCGTGAATGAAGTCGCGAAATAGTCCAGGCGAAGAACGTAATTCGGTGGTGACGACAACGAGGGGGTTGTGAGGACGGGCGAAGAAATTGCGAAAGTGTGAGAAAGATTTCAAGTGGGAGTGATAAATTTGAAAGTAAGAACTCACGCGCGGGAGTGGGGTGGGAAGGGGGATGATATTTGGCAAAAGATAGAGACAGAGCAGAGAGAGAGAGAGAGAGTGCGAGCGAGAGCGAGAGAAAGAGAGAGGAAGAGAGAGAGAGAGAGAGAGAGAGAGAGAGAGAGAGAGAGAGAGAGAGAGAGAGAGAGAGAGAGAGAGAGAGAGCACGAGAGCGAGAAGGAAGGGGAGGGTGAAAGAGGGGGAGAGGAAAAGAGGAGGGGGGTAATATGCGAAGCATCGGAAAACGATTCGTGCGAAAACAAACGTAACGGTCTCTGTCTTCTCTCGAATACGAAGGGAAATTCTAGCAGCTCGCAAAGCACGGCGAGAATATTTTTTCTTTCGCCGGAGAAAGATTAAAAGAAAAGAAAAAAGAAATATCGCCGGTGAGCTGCTACGGCGGTTTGTGCGAATCGCGGTGATCGCGCGCGAGTATCGCCGTCGGAGAAGCCCAAAGTGGGGAGGAGAGAGAAATAGGGGGAGCGCAGAAGCCGAAAATCCAGGCCGTTTCTTCGCGCGGCGAAGAAGAAGAAGAAGACGCGAAGACTCTGTGTGTTACCGCGAGAGCATCCGTAAATAGTAATGATCCGAGAAGATAGACGTACAGCGGAGGCGAAGAGAAAAAGAGAGGTCGCGCGGCCCGTGGTCGTTGCACGAACGAATTATAAATCGTCGATGTCGGCGGCATAGAATGGGAAATCGGGGATGAAAGAGGGCGAAGATTACGATGCCGAGTACGGGTGGAAAATTCCTACTTTCTTCTTCGTGCCTTATTAAACGCCACAACGGGATATTGAAAATGCTCGAGATATCCTCATTTTTCCTGCTTCTTTTGTACTCCCACGGGATAATGCGAAATTAGAGGGGAGGGAATGACGCGGGAGAGGTGGCTCTCATTGGGAAAATCGTTGACATTATTTTCATCTGGCGCGCGTGCTTCATACATTTTCCCCCTTGTATCGCCTTATTATATCCGCGGCACGGTAATGTATACGCACGCGTAGGTGCGTACTTCGCGAGCCCGGAGCACGTACACACGCATGCCCACGCGCACACACACACACACACACACACACACATACACTTCGATAATATTCCATGCAAATAGCCGTATTATAAAATAATCCAGCTGGGGACATTCTCACCCTCCTTTTCATCCGTCGATTTTCTCTCCCATTTTTCTTCTTTTTTCACTCTTTTTTTTTTTTCACTCCGACATCCTCCCCATTTTCATCAGTCTGAAAATGGCACGAGACGCGCGTTTATTTCCAACCTGACACCCGGAACTGATAGAAAGGTTTCGCCGGCTGTTCGTCACGGCGGAATCGTGACAGTCACTTTCGCCAGCTATTTCGACTCGACGGCGAGGCGCGGATTCTCACATCGCCGAAACGCCCGCACTCGAAGAGACACACACGCTGAAAGCTCAGTTTATTCGAATCCCGTCTGATCATCGCGAGCCCGATGCGGGGGGCGGGGGGGGGACGGGGGAGGGTAAGCGGAATTAATCACGGTAATTCTGCGCAGTGACTGTACTCTTGATTTGAGGGATATATGTTACGCGGAAAGTGCTTTGCATAAAGGGGGTGCATCAGCAACGTGGCGGGTATAGTCTACAGCTAACAACGCTATTTGCTCCGGGAGCAGGAGGTTCATCCTGCAGACAAACGGGATAAATGCGAGATGCACTTCGCGGAGAACGGCACAGCGCCGGGTAATCCGAGAGATACACCCCGCCGGCGCGGCGGGAGGAAAGACGGCGGAGGAGGGCCTGGAAATTTGAATGGCTATAATATTTTGACGAGTTGCTCAAGCGCGATGATTTACGCTCGAGTGTCCCATTGTGCTGGATTCCGCATCCGTACACGCTCACACATCAGGCTGCCCGGCGTGGTAGAAACTTCCAAAAATACACTCGGGCTCCGCTCGGGCATTTCGCGCACGTCGATATACGAACGCATCAGTAATTCATGGCTCGTGGCGCGCGTTGCAAGCGCACCGCCGCGACGGGGGCAAGGAGAGAGAGAGAGCCTGCGAATTTATTAAAGATTTCCGAACGATAATCGCGAGAGAAATTCTACCGGAGTGCTCTCTTTAACGTCGCCGAGTAATGAAACATTCTTTCGGGACGAGGAAATCAATAGGCGCGCTTACATCTCTCTCTTCTCTTCTTTTCTTGCCTGTTCCGCTGCCCCCTCGTCACTCCCCCCTCCCCCCGGTCTGCCCCCCGCTGAAACACACCGCGAATCGCTCGTCTCATTCTCGTGTCGCCTCTTCGATTCGCCTTCGTTTCCTAACGCTTTTGAAATGTTATTCCTTGTCGACGACAGTGCCGACAAGGCTCGATCAGACGAACGTCTTGCCCGGTCGAAAGAAACGTCGTAGCCGTCTGCCATTTTCTCTTGTTTTCTTCGCCCTGCGGAAACAATTGTGACGACGCAAGACAGAGAGAGAGAGAGAGAGAGAGAGAGAGAGAGAGAGAGAGAGAGAGAGAGAGAGAGAGAGAGAGAGAGAGAGAGAGAGAGAGAGAGAGAGACATCATGTGAGGGTAGAGTGTCCGCGCCCAGCGCGGCCAACATGAATCGTCGAGTGTTTCCGAAGTGCGACAACAAGTGAGTCGGGTACGTTGAGACGGCGAAGAAGTTCCCTCTTTCAGTTTCGGGCTCTTCTTCAGTTCGGCACGCTCCGCTGCCGAGAGTAATTGCTAACGCGCCGCGAGGATCCGAGAACTCATAAGTGACGAGAGACGCGCTTATCCCCGACAAAGGAGACACGACCAGGAGCTGATTTCAGGACTCCTCCGAGCCACCCTCGCCGAGGCTCTTCATGGCGGGCGAATAAGAGACAACGGCAGCCGTGCGATAGCTGACGGATGGGAACATGATTCCGGTACGGCGGATCCGGCGAACCCGACGGAAAGCCAGAAGAAGAGCGTCCTGAGGTCAACGAGACGCGGGCACTGCGGGGATATGGATGCTCGCGAGGACGGCGGGGCCGCTCGAACGAGAGGCTCCAATTTGTTGACTTAACGACCACTATTCCGGGCGAATCACGACGTGCGTCCGGCGTAAATCCGCACGGGGACATCGTCGTACTTCCGCACTTAAGTTCGCGCGACACGAGGAAGGAGAGAGAGAAAGAGAGAGGGAGAGAGGGAGAGAGGGAGAGAGAGAGAGAGAGAGAAAGAGAGAGAGAGAGAGAGAGAGAAAAGGAGGGGAAAAAGGAGTAAAGGAAAGAGGAAAAGAGAGGAGAGGAGAGGAGAGAGAGAGAGAGAGGGTGAGGGAGAGTCCTCGCTCGCGAGGAACGTGGCACGCACACGAGCACGGCAAGGAAAATGACCGCGACTCGCTGACGTCATCCGCGGAATGTGAATGTTCCGAAGCGCGACACGGCTCCACGCGGGAGGATCGCGTGCTCTCGCTAACGTCGCGCCGCGGCTCGTTTCCAGTCGCATAGATCGCCGATATTTCCTGTGGCATGTACGTGACCCCAACGACGTGGAAGGAAATTCGCGGCAGTAGAGCCTCGAGAAGATCCAGCAACAGTAGTGGTAGCGGCAGCGGCGACGGTAACAGTGACGACGGTGACGACGACGGCGGCGGCGGTGGTGGCGGCGGCGGCGGCGGTGACGACGGCGACGGCGACAGTGACGGCGACGACGACGATAGTGGTGGAGGTGGCGGAGGTGCTGGTGGTGGTGGTGGTGGTGGTGGTGCCGGTGGTGACGGTGGCGGTGGCGGTGGCGAAGGTGCTGGTGCTGGTGCCGCCGGTGCCGGTGGTGGTGGTGGTGGTGGTGGTGGTGGTGGTAGTGGCGGTACAACCTTGTGCCCTTGGTACCACGGTACCGTACCCTGAGGAACGAGGCTGGGTGTATGTGCGCGTGGGCGTGTTCGTTCGGAAGAGGGAAAAACACGGGGAACTCAAAAGGACCTCACCGAAGGCGGTGGTGGTGCCTGCCAGCGAGTGTCTCATCGAATCACCCCGGTTGTCCGCCTTCTGCGCGAGATCCTCCTCGCATCGCGCGCCGTACCGGCTCGTGCAAGGCCAACCGCGCGAATCGGTATCGAACGATACCGTCGATGGATGAGACAATCGGGCGGAGCAACGTGAGGAATAGCGAAAGGTACGATTTAAAATCGGGAGGCGGGAGGGGGGGAGGGATAGGGTGAGAAGTTCGTTGTACACCCTTTGCGTCTGCCGGCGATGCCGTGGCGGGGCCATCGCGAATGATCGCTACCGATGAAACTCGAAGAAGGATGCCAAGGTGCTGGCGCCTTGCGGAGTTCAAATTTGAACTGAACTCGGCTGCCGCTAATTTCAGGGCTGGCTTGAAAGCGGCAGGGCTCGGAGACGCCTCCGCGGCGTTTTTCGCGTTCGAGAGGAGATTTTCGATGGTGCCGCTGCGGCGCCCTTCCAGCGCAAAGGGGTTAATGGGAAACGCGTAGCGCGGCTACATTCACGAAAGAGCTATGAGAAGTTGCACTCGCAAAATTGGATCTGCGAGAGCTCCTTCGAAATTCACCCCGCGGCGAATAAATAGACGAATAATGTGTATCGCGAAGTATCTTTGCGCACCGGAAACTCTGCTCTCTCTCTCGTCGATAAATTCGGTATTACCTTCGTCTACCGTGATACCAGGGGCGTTATTTACTTTAACGCCTTCGCTATAGTAACAAAGGCTCTTACGCGGTATAAATTACTGCTCCTTTTGAATTAAAGGAGATGTATAAGGATGTATAGCTAATATTCGATAAGCGGCTGAATCTAATAAGATCTCCGGCTCCGCGAAGGGTTTCAATTTTCTAGGATGGAAGCTTCTCCTGCGACGAAGAAAAGGGGAAAAAAATTTTATAACACGTCCCGCGTGTTGCAGCAGTTCCCAAGATCTTTCTTTCGATCGTGCTTCGATCCCCGACTCATTTTTATCCAATAAAGCTCGTGCAATAAGCTCGTGTTTCCGGATATATATCTCTCTCTCTCTCTCTCTCTCTCTCTCTCTCTCTCTCTTAGCCTCCTCGACCTTTTAATATATACGCTTCGATCTTTCATTAAAAACAATCGAAAGGGCAATAATAGAACAGTCTTTGCGCTTGTCGCGCGTGACGTGTCCTTCCGACTAATTCGCGCGAAAAATAAGACCGAAATATGTTACTCGTGCAAAAACATGTTATTTGCTTCACGATGATGATATATTCTCTCGCAAAATGAATCATTTTTAATGCTTCTTCCAATTACGCGGCCATATATCGGGCTGCTTTTGTAACTTATTGGAGAATTGGATTATTGGAATATTTATCGCAGGACCAAAGAATTTATCGACCGAAGGGTTTAATATAAATATATCCGTGCGAAAACACACACACACACACACACACGCACACGTAGGGTGTTATATTGAATTGGTGTACCCTTAATTTCGTTATCTACGTCAGGATGATTGACATGTGCTTCGTCTGCTTTATCGGACACCACCATATTGCCCGAGGGCGATGTATTCTTTTTAACGGAACACAAACGTTTAGTTACGCCGCGGTAATTTCCAAACGCGCCGGCGTTAATTAACGACGCACGGTATTTTAACAAGATCCTGGCGGTCGACGTAATTGGTGTCTCTGCAGCGCATCAAGAAATGGTATGATTATCCTCCGGAATGACAGACGATAGTTACACCAGCCAGTGCCACCCTCTCGACACCTTCTCACGTCGCCCTGAGCGTCCTTGTTTCCTTCCATCCGTAGGTCTTATTAACAAGAGTGATGCGTGAGACGTGTCCGGGAAGCTGACGTCTGGGTTACGTGGGCTTGAGAGATTTGCGAGAAGATCAGTATAAAGTATGCACGAATGGTGCAAGCCGATTTCGCGGAGTTTACCGAACAAAAAAGGCGGGGGAAGAGGCAACGAGGGACGAAGCAAGAAACGGATAGTACATGGATACGTACACACTCGAGAATTAATGTTGGCATAAAGCGGCGAGTTCTTATTCGCGGGTATTTATTCGGTACTCATATCCGCGATTAGTGCGTTTGGGTACTCGTCGAAAATAAAAATTGCAAATAATACACCGGCGGTAACATGATGGCGATTTTCGTATCTGCAAATTTTTTCGTTTCCGCGCGATTACTTCGGCAATTTCCGCGATAATTCGGTATTCAGAAAAAACATACGAAAATACTCGGGTATCTAAGTAGTTGCTCGGCATTCAAATTCGCGGGCATATCCGCCATCCGTTATTGATTTTCACACCGGCTGACGTTCTCTTTCACTCTTCTAAGTGTGTCATGCACGCTAATCGCGACATTCGAACACCCGGATCATCTTCCCGGATTGTGATCTGGCATCTGAAAAATGTTCAAATGAGGCAAGAAGGTATTTCAATACTATCCAGTGTATATCGACAACATTATTTCCGAGAGAAAAAACTAATGTTGTCACAGTGATTGCATTACTCAAATGTAATAATAACGATTGAGTCAGTCTTCTAGCGAGGATCGCTGACACGATAATAAAGAACGAAAGGATCAAATGTCATCTTTATCGTATCCGAGATCTCAGCGGCAGCAGCCATCGCTCTGGCGCAGCGACGATTGTTTCCTCACAATTATTTCCTAAGAGAGAAGCCGTCGGATTAATATCGCAATCGCCGAGACGCGCCGAACAAGCGTGCACAAGTGGCAAAATTTGCGAATCGCATGCCGCTATTTTTCTATGACGCGCCAATCGATCGTATCTCTCGGGGCGGGGAATACCCGCGAAATTGAAATGGCCGCGAGGGCTCGAGGGGAGAGAGTGAGGAATGCAATTTCTGCCGCGACATGAAAATTTTCGATGCCATTTCTGCCGCGCCATCATTCGAGGTTACTGAGCCGTCGCGCCTATCTCGTAGGATTAAATCTTAGAACATGCATTCTACGCGCGCGTGTTGAAAAGCGCAAAAGTGAAAAGCCCCGACGCAAACACGGCCCCGCCGCCGCGCCGCCCGCGTTCTTCCCCGGTCTCGCGTCCCGCTAGAGCCCCCTCTCGCTCGTCGCGCAGCGGCGTTATAACTTCGTATTTACTCGGATAACCGCTTAACAGTAACAACTGTAATTCAGACGACAGCGCGTGTGACGGTTACTGTGTGTAACTTCGCTGGAACTTTCATGCAACAACATATGACGTTGTACCCGTGACATCCATACGCGCGCTCGTATAGCCTCGGTCAATTACTAATTTACAACAGTTCCATCGGCAATGATGTTCGTCCCGAGCTCAGTAGCGCTCGTTTGTAAATATATCATTATTTTGCATCGAGCTTGTCAGGTGACCCGTATTTATTTCAACAGAATCCTCCGATATATCCTCCACACCGCGAGAGAGAGAGAGAGAGAGAGAGAGAGAGAGAGAGAGAGAGAGAGAGAATGTTTAATTTCATCGCGCGAGTTATATTTGTTTTCTACACCAGCTGTATATCTTCGGTGGTTCTGATTAAAAAAGTACAGTATAGCCGAGGGATACTTTTAACGTTATTATCAATAACATGTGCAGTAGTAAGCTATAGAACTGCGTTATACTGCATTACTGACTTGAATTATTTCATTATGAAGATATATTATGAAGTGTCACACACACACACACACACATGTAACGGACATTCTCTTCTCGGCGTAAACAAAACTCCGAAGTTGGCAAGAACTGTACGTTCTACAACAGGTACACTCTTTTTCTCTTTAGTCCCTCCGGCCCTCACTCTATCTGTCTTCCTATCTCCTCGGGAAAGAAGCGCCGAGCTCTAATCTACTAACAGGATGCAAGCCGAGCGTACCGCGAATGGTCATTTTATCTCTGCTAGCAGCAAAAAGTTGATTCTAACTTCATAAGCGAGCAAGAAATTGTCATTAGGGTTTAACGCTCCGAGCAGCAGTGAAGCGAACTTTTGTTCCCGGCCGTAGCAAAACCTCCTTACGTGTATCGGCGATGCTATTGTAGGTGTCGGACTTAAAGTCGTAACTTACTTTACGGTCACTATGTGGGTAGAAGCTTGCGCAAAGGAAACTTGCTCTTAATTAACGAATCGTCTTTTCTTCGTCACCGATACGGTCAAGGTTTCCGGAGATAAAAAGTTTTTTCTTCCCACCTCTTTTTACCTCCGCGATCGCGCAAAGGTGGATAGAAAATTGTACATCGTGGACGATAAGAGACAGCGACAACGTCGCAACGTCGTCCTGTTTTTACATGAATATTCCAACGCCAATCGTTAATTTGTGATCACGCGTGCGTGACCGTTGCTGTACCCGTATGTATGTGCGTGTGTGTGTGTATGTTGACAGAAAATCGTACGTCCCTGGTACGTACATAGTCTGGTCGCTGAACGATGACCGACTGGCCGTTGTCACAGTGGAGATGACTACCAGGTTAGTGGCTCGTCCCGAAGACGACGACGACGACGACGAGGTCCACGAGGAACGAGACTCGGGCGATCACTGCCACTGATAGAGACCCGGCACCCCGTCGCAGCTCACATCGATGCCGACCGCCACATCCACGATACAAGGTATGACGGGACATGTCTCGCCGGACGCGCTTCTGTCGGACGAGCTATCGCAAAATTGCCCGCGGCATTTCCGTCGCTCTTTATTTCACTGCGAAATGCTGTACGTGCGATCAATCTCGGGTGAAAACCCTTGCGCGCGCGCACACACACACCCTCACACTTCCCTCTGTGTTAGCTTCAGTCACAATTTTCCTCTCCTCTGTGAATCGCCCGTATAATTGGAAATTTTGGGATTCTACTTCGTCAGCCGTGATATAGCAGTATTTTCAATTCTCATCGCGTATTGATCGTTTGAGGAACCTTCGCGGTTCGCCTCAAGCTTGCGAGCCACGAAGGAGATAAATCGCCGAATTGTTAGCAGAACACGTTCGAGAATGTTGAGAAAAGGACGGACGGATGGAGATCCACGCCGAGGCGGAGTCGGCGACGGTATTTAGGACTCATTGTTCTTCTAGTGGTTGTCATGCATTGACGCGATAGGTGTGCCAGCGGCTTCTCCTGCCCGCCATTTGTGCCCTTTCGTCTTTATTCACCTGCTTCTCGCAGGAAGACATCGCCGTCCCTTAACGGCGTTTTATCCTCATTCCGATGCGATCTTTCCTTGAACTTTGATATTTACTTCTTTTTGTCGCTGATACCGCTTGCCCCGATGATTGACACGGATGTAAGACTGATGACGATTCTGTACAGCTGCGAATTCATCGGTAACCACAATACAACTGCGCTGTTACTTCCGAATATCCGAAGTAACTCGGATATTATCCGCTGGTTTGGATATTCGGGTACTCGAGTACCCGGAATGTGGGTAGTGATTGCGAATTCAATTAGTCGGATCGGCGGATACCTTAAACCCAGGCGGCACCGGCGAGTTTGGGTACTCGAGTACACCTGGAAACCGAATAGCGACCGCGGGTTTGAGTACTCAGGCGGGCAAGAGCTTGAAACTCAGGTAGCACCGGCAAGTTTGCATACACCTCAAAAAAGTATTCTATTTGTAAAGTGATTTTTCCCATATCTCATATTGTCATCTCGCTCATATTTTAAGCGAAGCCTTCTACAGAAAAAGGATTCCTCTCTCGATAAAGCGATTAAAGTGAACCATTTATCTAAAATTTATTAGATATTATTCTAACTGTTTTCCTCTATTTCTATTCTTCGAGAGGATTTTCTCTTATATCAATTAATTTTCCTCTTGTATAAAGAGGAATATGTTGATTTGAATGTCGGCTTCTTTTCTTCGGTCATGCTCTACCTCCAGACATGAACGAAAAAATAACCTTGTGCTCGTGGGTCAGAACGCTTTTTAAAAAAGGTATGTGTGTTGCTGTAACATACAACGAAGATAATTTACCCACATTTGGTCGAATACAGTTTACAATCTATCGCAAGAAGTTGAATAATATATTCTTTCTTTTAACTATATGTTTTATACAATTGGTTACGATGAACATCTTTGTAGCTATAAAGTCCATAACGAAACTGATTGGAAATTTATTTGTTATGATGATCTTATTTCATTCGTGTCTGCTTATTGTAGAACTGGAGCCAGAAGTACATCTATATATATATTACTTTTCGCTATATACATTACAATAATTTTTTCAAATTAAACGATACGACCAGTGAGAATAAAGTACAGTATAGATAATAAAGAATAAATAATAATCCTCTTCAAAAAAGATTAAATATAATCTGTGTATAAGAGGAAATTTATGTTAAAATCAATAAGACTTGCATTATATAACATATAATCCCTCTAACTTTAAGAATAATGTATTTATGATATTTTCCTCTTAATCTTAGAGGAATCCTCTTGAGGCCATATATAAGAATAAAATCTTCCAAAATTTAAATGATTCCGCTTGTTTTGAAATTACTTTTTTCGGGTATATTCAGGTACTCCGATATCAAGAATTCGGTTAATATTCGTGAGTACTCGCGTACGTGGCTTATAGAAATACGGCGGTAGCGCGAATACAACTGCGAAATAAATCCTCCGCCGATCCTCTGAGAACGTTAAAGCGGAGTTATCAGCTTGTAAATGCTTACTCACATCAGGCAATATTGTTGATTGGAATTTTTATCGATATTCGCCGCACGTTACGCACACACAACGCAGGGCGTGCCTTTGCGTTCTTTCGCATTCTCAGAGTGCTTGCGAGACAACCGGCCTAGTCATCGCGTGAATTTAAACGCGAACGTGTCGATGTCCGAACAATTCGAGGAATTCGTCGTGGCAAACGTGTCCCTCATACGGCATCGAAATTCCGTCGCGTAAACGCCTACGCGAATAATGATTTCTTCACGTTCCCGCGGACAGAAAACAGGAGTTTTTCCGCGAGCGGGCTTGCGTGCTCATCCGCGTTCCATTTGCCTCCGCGACCCCCCTCTCCGGTATCGATCGGCGAACAACACCGGCTGAAGCTCTGTGTGCCGCCGCGAGAGGTAACCTGTGGAATTGACAGAGCAAAAAAGTGCTTTCGGATCTCAAGTTTAGCACGTGGGGAGATTCGCGAATTCGGCGCCGCGGCAGCGAGCGAGCTCGCCCGCGAATGTTCGTTGTATGCAAATCGGCAACCCCCGCATGGCAAATGCACCCACGGACGAGTCTCGCATACGAATTACTGAAAAACGATTTCTATTACGTATCACGCAAGGATACCGCGGCTCCGAAGTTTAATATTAACGAACACATAACCGAGCACGGTTATCTTCGCGATGTATTGACAAGAACGTCGCGCGGCCGCGACGCGACAACATTTCGCGCGTACAATCGCAGATAGCGAGGATGTCCGCTATTATCGGTATGAGTCCTGGAATGCATCTGACTCGTCCAGTGGATGGATTCTCCCGCTGGAAAACAGATTCCGCCATTGGACAAGACGGGTGCGTCCGAAATTCGCGAAAAAAGTAGCGGACGATCTTTCCGCCCAGAGTTGTGTACGTCAGCAGCCCTTTTCTCGCAACTTCGTCGTAATCTGATTAGGATTTTTCAGCGTAAGTCAATGGAAAGAGGAAGAACGGTATATTCCCGATTCCTATATAAATTATATTTACGTTCCGCGAAAGTCACGTCGGAGGAAGGGAACGTTAAAACGAGGACGTGGCTAGCTAAGCCGTGATATCGGCGTTAGCATATTAATCCTCTTATACATATTCTTACACGCGCGTGACAGCTGTCAACTAAATATGTAAATATTGCTAGCAGACACACTGTGCTGCTTTATCTAGAAATAAAATTACCGGGTACGAAACCGGGCACGAAATTATAAACGCAGCGGCGTATTGTTTTTTATTTTTCTTTTTTCCTTTACGACACACATCGCATGCAGCGGCAAAGTTGGATGTCGCGTCTTGCTCCGCGCATTTTATCTGTGTATGCCCCGAGGAATCCGATAAGCCTTTTTAATCGCGCAAGGAAAAAGAGTAGAATGCGACGATACAGTATCTCGGCTACTTAGGTTATAGTCTGGATCTTCCAGTCCCTCTCTCTCGCGCGCGCGCGCCGAGGTCATGTTTACTCTATTTATTGATCGCGAAATATCTATCGCAAATAGAGTATGTAATCTACTTATGAAATCTCACGGAAGTTACGGCGGAACAGTTCGAACTTATTTCATTATCCGCCACGGCAGAGAGACGCAGTGAGACGATATTATATTCGGATAATTAAAAACGTCCCTTGTACAGGCATAATAAAGGAAACCTATCGAGGTAGCGCGCAGCGCGGCCACGTCATCGCAATTTCAACTCCGACTGCTGGTATCGACTCGTGAAACTCGTGGCGGAATAATGTTATCGGATCGAATATTGAAATCGTTTCTCGATAATTTCTCCTGGGCGCATTCATGAGTCTTCTTCCCTCGCGTTCATCGATCAAGTCGCATCAGTTGCGACAGTCAGCTGTCTGCGAAATTAACAGCGGAGCCGGCACTTGGGTAGAAAAAAGTTTGCGATATAGGTCAGAGCCGGAGGAACATTTCGCAGGGTGTTGGAACAAAGCGAGAGGTCCGCTCGCGCCGCGTCTAACCCGACTACGTTTGGAACCCGATGTGTCAATTAGAAAGAGCGAGCTTTCAAAATCGAAAATTCCGCTCCTCGAGTTCTCAATAAGACGTCCGGCGCGTGATATTTGTTTGTGTTCGACAATTTTCACTCAAAATTCCCGTCGGCATTGCGGCTCGAGTGCTCTCGTTTCGTTCTGCGAGCGTTCTGAAATTCTGCCAATACCCGCTTCCCATCCGGTCGCAGTCGCATTTTTCGCGTCTGAACGTCATCGTTTGACTTCCCCGTGACTGACTGATCCCGCGACCGGAGAAACGCACACTCGAGTGTCTCTTTTCATTCGTTTGCATGATTGATGGGCTCCATTATGGGATAAGCACTCTTTTTGCTGCTGCGTCTCCATTATAATTTTTTCTCTCTAAAGCGCCGTCGTGCTCGGTCGCGCAATATCGCAGTGTTTCGTTACTTTCGCCGGTTTGTACTCCGCGCTTGTTCTTTCGCACTCGTCGCCGCAAGTAGAGCATTGCAGCTCCGTATTGTAATTAGAATTCGCCGAGCCGGCGAAAATCGTACGTCCGTGTTTGGTATCTTGTGAACTACTTTTTTTTTTAATATGATAATATAGTGTTTTCGTATCCCACTCACGTATACACATACGTGCACTCACATTACGTAGGAACGTGTATAAATTACTCCTGTCAGCCAGTGTTTTACGATATCGACATTCGAAATATACGAGCATACGGTGAATTTGCATAAATTCTACGGTAAAACGGAGTTTCCAAGACTGCAAGCGCGACAAGTCCGATTGTGCTTGGAATACAACAAACAAAAGTACCAGATTTAATCCCCGAAGCGTGCTCGAAAGATTGCGATGAAAAATCCTGCAGGTGACAAGACGGGAAAACGCTGGACTCGGCTTTGTCCGTAGGAAAAATCGTGCTGGAGGATCTGATAGAAGTAAACTAAAAGGCTTCAGATGCATCGGATCGTTA